AGAAAAGCTTGTATTTTTGGTCCAGACAATGACATGAACAAAATAATATGCAATATGATTATATGAAGATTGAAGGGTTGAATACAAAAATAATATGACGTATGAAATTAGAAATTCAAACAAAAACTCCAAAATAAAATTGCTTGAATGATTTTTGTATGTAATTGAAAAAAAATTTCGAATTGTGACAGCTATGGGTTTCCGTACCCAAGTTTACAAATTAAAAATCAACACTGACGCTAAATGGAGAATGAGATAGAAGTATAAAATTTTAAAAATGATTGTCAAATAGTAGCGTAGTAATATTGTCACACTTGATAAATTAATTTCTCCTATACTGCGAGAAACCAAGTTTGACAAAACGCGGGAATGTCCGAGTTTCCTCGACACTATTGCCTTACGCTAATCAAAATACAAGAAAAACGGAAAAAGGATATGTATATTTTTCAACTGGACGTAGAATCGGTCACTTCTGACACCAGTTGTAGTGACCTATAAGTCTGCGAGCTCAGCTACAGGCCAATACAGGGGCTCGGGAACCACGAGGGATCACTAAGCCAGTATCAGGTTGCAAACTCATTTATTGTTAGATCGTACCAAAGTGTTTCGTACCACACTGCAAAAGATGAAAATAAATGTTTTCAAGGGCATTTTATTTTTCTGACCTTAAATCATTTTACTCATTGCAAATGTAGATTTTTTTAATCAACATAAATTAAGATTGTTTCATTTTATTATGTCGTGATCTGCAATCAATGACGGAAGTTTACAATGTGACATTTGTTGAATTATTGAAAAATCAGTTTCACAGTTGAAAAACTAGGTTTATCGACTGTAAACTATAGTTTACAAACCGGGAACTATAGTTAACAATTCGATAACTATAGTTTTCATCTGTAAAACTATATTTAACGGTTGTTAACTATAGTTTACGGATGCTAAACTAAGTTCATCTGTCTGAAATAAAACGTTAACAATAGATTTTGTTGATAAACATATATTCACGTCTGTAAACTATAATTTAAAATCGTTAACTATAGTTAAAAGTTGTTGATCATAGTTTACAAATCGTGAAAATATATTTATCAGATAATCTATGTTTTGCAATCGCAAATGATTGTTTTCAGTGTTAAGTATAGTATACGGTTCTGAAAATAGATTAACTATGGTTTACAGATGTAAAATGTAGATTGACGTTGTTAACTATAGTTTACAGCCCGTAAACTATAGTTTACAACCGATAAACCTAGTTTATCGAGTGTGAAACTATGTTTAGCTCATTTTTTGTGAATTTGGCGAGCCATAGATATATGAAAGAATACTTTTTTTTAAATATTTAAAAACGCAGTGAGCGAGTAAACATCTGATCTTTCAGTTTTGTTTTTTTCACCGTTTAGGATATATTGATTTGTAAACGAGATAAATAGTATACACTTATCCACTGGGTGTGAGTGGGATAGCTCTTTTATCAAACCCGCGACAGAGAACTATTCCCCGAGGGCTTGCCCGAGGGGAATAGTTTCTGTCAAGGGTTTGATAAAAGAGTTATCCCACTCACAAACAGTGGATAAGCGTTTTATTATACTGATGTATAATATAATTTCTGAGGTTTGAATTTTTTTGCAGTAAGATAATACTGCAAGAATAATCTGAAATCCTGATGACGTCACAATGCTACTGAAGTCATTATGACATCATCAGTAGATAGATCTATCGTTGGAAATCAAAATTGGAGGCAAAAATTGCATGAAAATTTTCCGAGGGTGGATAGCAAAAACTATACCCCGGGGTATAGCTTTGCTATGCCTGAACTATAAAAGATAGCTATTTTACCTTCTGAACTTTATACAGGAAACATTTTAACAGAAGTATAATAATGTTATTTATTATTTTCGTATATATTCGTTATTTATTACACTTCATGAATTCTACATGTAGAATGTGAATATATAAAGAACAGTGATAAAAAAGTCAAAGAACAATACAAATATGTGAAGATGGCATAAACGCAGACCCCTGGAAATAACAGGGGCGGGTTCAGGTGCCGAGGAGGAGTAAACATTCACTGTCGATCGGTGCTAGACCCACCGCGAGCCCTATGTATTGTCCTGGTAGAACCTCCTTTCTGCAGTCAAATTCAATATAAAAACGAAGGCCTAGCAATTGTTAACAAATCAGCCAAGACATTATATTTGTTAACAACTCAATGTAGCTACCATAGAATATATGAAAAGTCGACTATAACCACTTCTGTGCCACAGGGCCGATTTTGGGCCGATCACACAGTTCAGTTGCGTCGAGTGCCACGGGGCCGATTTTGGGCCGATTTTATTTTAATAAATTGTGACTATGTTTTTCTTTTACTTCTATTCAACGTAAATAATTATTGAACTTTTGCATCTTTTTATTGCATAGCATTATGCATAGATGCATAGATTTAATGGCTTATTTGTAGAATATCGTGAAAATTTCAGACAAATATATGGATAAACAAAGTGAATTTCATACAAGCGATGACGCCATGAAATTTTCAAATAAATGAGATGTTACTTATAATACCGGTATTATAAGTATTGGATATGCTCAATGAACTCGATTTCATTTCAAAAGTATATTTTCATACTATTATAAATTCAGTATATTGAGGTACTACTCGTCCATTTAGCAGCAACGGTTAGAATCAGCGTCATTTTACGTAAATGACGTCATAATAACAAGTACGTGTAAGCCAAACCTTGAGAAAACGTTCCGAGTTTATACCAGTAATTCCAGGCATTTAGATTGAATGACTGATTGTTTAATTATGTGATTTAATATTGTCAAGTTTAAATATTTTATTTTGTTGCGTATGAAGACATTAAAATTGCACATGTCATATTTTCTAAAGAACAAATTAAAAATGTATTTCCTGTTTCGTTTTGTTTCCTGTGTTCAATGTATTTTTCGTAAGTTTCCTGAATGCAAATATTACATCCTGCTACTCAACTAAAAGCACCTAATAATTAATTACATGTATTTGGAAAGATGACAAAAGCTAATAAGTTCAAATGTTTGATTTATCTTTAATTTATTGTATTCCGAAATTTTAATTTCAATCAATATTTTTTTTTCATTTGTTCCGAATTGACTTACCGGTAAGTTTGTTTATTACATATTGGTATAACTTTTAAAATTTCATAGATTTTATTAACAAGACGCATGAATTCAATGTATTACAGTGAAAGGGATAATCATGATCAGTTTGATATGATAATTTTTCTTCCAGAATTTTAATGGAAAATAATGACGCAATTTTATTGAAATCTCTAATGAGTAAATATTACCAATATTTTTCATCTGTTCAAATGCTTTTCATATTCAAATATTTACATTCGCTGTGTTTTTCTACTGAGCCAATTGTGAAATTGATTTGAAAACCATTTTCGTGTATACTCACGCGTTTAGAAATATACACGGAGAAACGAGCGTTAACGTGACGTCACAATGAGGCTACAGCGACATTAGTAAAAATGCAGCGATATAGGGCACCGAGAAATTCAAATATTGAGTAAATTTTAGTTGCTTCCAAACATGTAAAATGTAAATACATGTATAAGGAATGTTTTTAAGTTTAGTGTGAATTATTGGTGTGAGAATCACACAGACTTGCACGTATTTTTCATGACGCGCTAGCGCGCTTCATGAAATATGCCTACGTGACAAGTCTGTGTGATTCACACACCAATAACTCAAACAAAAAACTAAAAAAAACATTCCTTAATAAGCCCTAAAATTTCGACATTTCAGACGGTAAATGTAAAAGAATTTCTTTTGCTGTGGCCTTCAACTCGACATTTAGATATATCGACGACGTATTGACGATTAAGAATGGTAATTTCTTTTGTCGATACGATATATCCCGGTGAGCTTGAGATAAAAGATACCACAGAGTCTGACACATCTGTTTCATATTTGGATTTTGTACTGGAAAAAGACGTTTATGGTAATCTAACAACCAAATTCTATGATAAAAGCGATGCCTCTAACTTTACAATTGGCAACTTCCCTTACTTCTGCAGAAATATACTTTCATCACCTGCGTACGGAGTTTATATATCTCAGTTGATTTGATACGCAAGAACATGCTCTACTTATGAACAATTTCTAAAACGAGGTAGATTATTGACAAACAAGTTGATAAAACAAAAATATTAGCAGTCTCGTTAAAAGTCATCATTTTGTTAGTTCTTTGGTCGATACAATAACCTTGTCAGGAAATACAATTTATCATTGAGTCAAATGCTGACTGACCTGTTTCATGCAAATTGTTAGTACATTATACACTGAATTGACAGCGGATTTTTCCGTTATTTCCCGATCATGACAAGGAACACACGGCGGGTGTGACTGGTTGATAGGAAATGTTCACTCCTCAATGGCACCCGATCCCACCTCTGATGTTTTGGAGGTCCCTGTTTGCGCTGCTCCTATTTTGTATTGTTTTATAGACTTTTGATCTTGAATACTGTTCGTTATCTCCACATTAATAGTAATAATATTCTATTTTAAATGATAAACAATACTCCGTCATCTTATCATTTGGCATGATATTTTTATGCAGCATTGTCACATTTCGGCGCTACATTTCGACAAAACCAAGACGAGTAGGGTAAATGTGCAAGGTACTAAGAACTTTTTAAAAAAAAAAAAAAAAAAAAAACTCATCTTTAGGAAGCCAATTCGAAAAATTTCAACTACACAGCAGAAAAGAAAGTTTGATTAATTTAATTTTTAAATACCTGTGATAGAATCATACAGATGTTACATAATACCACTTATAAATAACGTTTCCATTAAAACACCGATTTTAAAAGGAAAATGTACCTTTGAAATAGGATATTTTATTCATATTAGGGTCATGTCTCGTACCGAAGTTCGATAATGTTAAGGAACATAAAATTTGCTAAATTTTGAATCGATAAAAGACAGTTATAATATTTTTGTTTCGATATTTTATTCTGAAATATATGTCAAAGTTCAAATTGTAATTTGTATACAAAAAATATAAATGTAAACATAATATCGAACTCTTTGAATATAATTTCCCAAACACTTTAGAGAAGACAGTTAAGTTTGACTTTCCAGGATTTGTTCGTCGTAAGATCCACTGCGGTAGCAATTTTCTCTGTAAACCCAAAATGTAGCTGAACCTTAAATATTCTTCTTTCAGGTAGAAAACAATCATCCTCAAAGACGGCACGAATGTGGCCAATTATTTTGCAGCCCTCATTATTACAGTATTGGACATCGCTATTGGCGCGATATATTTCAACGTTTGCTTTATGAGAAGTTGATGAATTAAAACGCTTTTCTATGATAGTTTTACCTATTTCTAGTTCTTGGTTCTTTTTTATCAAACAATCAAACACGTCAGTACACACAATCTCCCCCTCTTGATTCATGGATCTGTACAATGGTAGATGTTCACCTTCAATAAAAGGGACATCAGTGGCAACGCCATAATATGCTTTGCTTTTTCGTATGATACTCTCTGTGGTTATTGGAGTGACTTCCAATCCCTTTTCTATTGCCTTCCTTACTAGATTCTCAGGACTATGTCCAAACAGAACAGCCCCCTTCATCACAGCAACACTTCCCTCTCGAGGATTGATCACTTTCTTGTCTCGGAACTGACTCTGGATTGCTTTTTGTAGCAACGGACATTCCGAAAAACCGCCAACGAGTAGAATGATACCAATATCAGCTATCTCTTCTTTGGTGAAAAGTTCCTTCAAATGATTAGTCACATCCTCTATTGGACCCTGAAACACTTTTTCAATTAAGAAGTTTTCATCAATACGCAACTTAGCACTGCTAAACTTTTTTATTTTCTTTTTTAATCCCATCTCTTGTATTTGCGTTGCTACGCTTTTGTTTTCGTTAGACTTGGCAAATTCCTTAAATAGATCACCTAGGTTGGAAAAAGTGACTGGTTCCGCCTTTTCGTTATTAATATTCTCTTTCCCGATTCCTTTTTTTTTAACTTCGAAACTTCTTAAAAGTTCCAGCCAATCTGAAGGCGAATTGCACTTAAATTTGTTTACTATATCTTCCCCAAAGATGCTGTTTATCAAATCAAAGAAAAGTTTGTCTACATTAGTACCTCCTACTGCGTCCCCCGAGGCACAGTGCAGTTCTTTCAGTGAACTGTTCTCCTTTACCTCGTATGAGGTAACATCCACTGTTCCACCTGTAAATTATATGCATTGTTGGCTTTAATCGTGTTGCTTGCTTAAATATTAACTACAGCTGCTTTTATGTCAGAAAATTTTTAAAATGAAAATCTTTACAACCGGACTTCCTTTTTAAAATTAATTTATTTGAATTTGCAATAAACATTGAAGGTGAATCATTTGCTAGATTCTTACCTCCACAGTCAACCACCATGAATTTGCTTCCAGGGTCAAACATCCTTATATTAATATCCTGGGCTGCTTTTGTCAAAGCCAACTGTTTACAGAGCAGAGCTGCAGACTCTGGCTCCAAAGCAAGAACCAAATGATCGTCCTGTATGCCAGCCTTCAAAAACAAAAACCTCATTGATTGGATATCATTCTTAAAGTCAGGACCTGATGTTGGTCTACAAGTAAAACCTTTATGTGCTCTAATCTTGAATATGTTACTTTACTTCAATACCTGAATAGCTGCTTCTCTCATGAACTGTTTGGCTTCATCAGACCAAATGGCAGGAACTGTGAGAACCCACAATATATCAGCGGACCAGGAAGAAATGTCTTCGTTTCCTAATGCAGAAGTTTCATGGCCTATTGGGTCATCTTTCTTATCATCATCATCATCAAAATCATCGGGGGGTTCCGATAAATTCCCGGAAGTATTTGAATTCTCTGAACCCTGACGTGTTGTAGCTGAATTGTTAGATGCATTGTTATCATCTCGCAACGTTGCTTTTTCCAATAAGCCTTCGAAATGTTCTTTCAGAAACCTTATAGCTTCAGAAAATATTTTCAATGCCGGCAACTTCTTTCCATTCTCCGCCTGTAAATTTAAGTTCTTTAATTTTCGATTTCTCCTCTGAAAAAAAAAATATCCCCGGTAAGTCAGAGGTCTAAATGTCTTTAATTTATAATCATTATATTGTGAATATAATTTTTAAAAATTTGATTGTTGTCTTCAATGGATTATCGTTACGTAACAATTAATTTTTTTTAACAATTATAGATATGGTAAATTGTTATCTTTAGACTCGGTCTTTCATTTAGCCTTTGATGTATAGTAAAGATATTAATAATAGAATATTTATTTTTAGAGCCACACATTAATAAATACCGTAAATCTGGAAATTTTTGTTGTAGATAAATTTTTAGCAAATTTGCGAGTTCATTGCATTCGCAAAAATATTTTTCTTAAAACTAAATCACCAATAAGAAAATGTAAACAAAGCAATGGTCATTCGCAAAATTTTGAAACATAAAAATTAATCAACAACATTTTGACCCGAATTCGCAAAATAAAATCGACGTAAAAATTTCCAGATTTACGGTATAAAGTTCTATAGAAAATAATTGTTCATGGAAAAGTAAATCACTTGCCACAGATGCATCTTGGAATAGCTTCATTTTGAATCTCCTAAAGAAAAGCCAATCGTCAAATCCATCTTCCTTAGGTTTGTCTTTATTTTCCTCATCTTTTTCACTGTCGTCTTCATCATCACTATCCTCGTCTTCTTCTTCGTCTTCCTGTTTTTCTTGAGCTCTTTCAGCCAAAGTAGCATATTTTCTCTCAGCATCATATCCAAATGAGTGAAAATTTCCAGATTTGTCGAAGAGAATGCACGTGGGAGTTTTCGATGTTCCTTGTCCTTCGTTAAACCAAGGTGGGTTGGATTCAATGTTTAAGGGATTTCTTTCGTAGTCAGGTCGCATGGAATAAGCATATCCACTGTATGTAGTCCCAAAGTCAATTGCGCAGACGACAGGCCAAGGAGTGACGTCAGTGTCCTCTGCAGCCATCTATAGCTGTATCTATCAAGGATATGAAAAATGGAAAATTAACACATACTGGCACAACACCCAAATCAAATTTTAAAATCACGTTACATGTAATTACCACTGTGTACAACCCAGTCAAATATAAACTTTTTTCAAATATGAAAAAATAGATGTACTATGCGCAATTTGCTAACTAAATGACACCCTGCTTCCCATATGGTTATAATAGAACATACAATAACCTAAGATATAATCTGAGAAATAGAAAATAAAATCCCATTTTTTTAATTTACCGCGACGAATAATTTTACGAAACATATGGAGATAACGAACAGTAGTCAAGATCAATAGTCCATAAAACAATACAAAATAGGAACAGAGCAAACACGGACCTTCAAAACATCAGAGGTGGGATCAGATGTCATGGAGGAGTTAGCATCCCCTGCCGACCGGTCAAACCCCTGTGTGCTCCTTGTCATGATAGGGAAATAACGGAAAAATGTGTCGTCAACTAGGTGTATAAATAATGGACTAACAACTAGTATGAAAAAAGTCAGTCAGCATTTGACTCAATGATGAATTGTATTTGCTGACAAGGTCATTGCATCGACCAAAGAACTTAAAACAGCAGAATGTTTACTTTAAACGAGACTGCTGAAATTCTTGTTTCATCAAGTTGTTTGTCAATTAATTTACCTCATTGTAGAAATTGTTCATACACAGAGCACGCTCTTGCGTATCGAATCAACTGAGATATATAAACTCCGTATGCAGGTGATGAAGGTATATTGTTGCATAAGAAAGGGAAGTTGACGATAGAAAAATTAAAGTCATCACCCTTATCATAGAGGTTGGTTGTTGGATTATCGTTAACGTCTTTTTCAAGTAAAATATCCAAATATGAAACAGATGTGTCAGACTCTGTAGTATCATTTATTTCAAACTCACCAGAATATATCGTATCGACATAAGAATGGAAATTATCATTGTTAATTCAAAATACGTCGTAGATGTATCTAAATGTCGAGCTGAAGGCAACAGCAAGTGTTTTCTTCTTTTCATACATAAGATTTTGCACAATTTCTGCTTCATAAGAATACAAATACACATTTTTATGGTGTAGAAAAATCAACGTTTTGATGTAACTAAATTTCGAGAGAGAGAAAAACTAAAAGTTCTTTGGAGTTTTTTAAAATCCACATCTGAATTAAGGTCACACGATACGTTCCCCAAATATCTGTTTAGTATATCTTCATAATGTATGGAAAATATACAAAGTTTAATTACTTTCTTATTTCTAAACCGGTTTCTAATTGTTTTTAAAAATGTGAAACACTAAAAATGTGATTTTTGAATACTAAGTTTTTTTTCTAAAGGATAATATAAGAAATGTCATCCTCAGGCATTTCGCACAAATGCCTGGTAAGGTACCTCAATTTTTGGTGAGTAAACATGTTAAAGTAGTGATTCTTCAATGACAAAATCTTGAAAAAAAATTATATATTATTGAGGAACGTCTCGTCTGTCCTTAAAACACTTCTAGAATATGCTGTAACCCAGTATTCTGAAGTTTCTCCTTTACAGCAATTAATATTTGAATTATTTTTGTTAGGGGTATAACAGTTGTAACTTGTAACAACAGAGCCTTGATAGAGCTCTTGCTACACCAGTAATGTGTCTTTATAAGAACTATTGTGAAAAGTATTAAATACTAAAATTTAATTTTAAAGAATATTCTCCTAAGAAAGTGAACTGTAAATATAAGTAGGATTTCCAGAAGTATAAATCATTAAAAACGAAAGTAGCTGAAAGTTTTGCCAACGCATATCTTGAAATTTTTACTTACATATTCATTTAAATGTCAGACGGAAATTTCCTCTTCTGTCATTGAAACAATTATTATAGAATTAAGTACAGTAAGAAGTCGTATTTACCACATTTATACATACATGTTTACTACTCCGATTTTATGTTGACCTGTGTTTTACAGATACAGGAGTCGACAACTCCAGGTAGGAGTGATTTACTGGCGGTTTTCAAATACGTAATATTATTTAAGAAATAAACAACGTTATTCAGTGAACATGGCGTTATGAATAGCAATTGCTCTGCTGGCATATTCCATGATGCGCGCTAGCGAGCTATTGCTATTCATAATGCCATGTTCACTGAATAATCGTTGTTTATCACTTATATTTGCATTCTTTGATTTTTTTTTCAAGAATATCAGAGGAAATCCTGACTTACATAAGGACGCAGCTTCTTGTCTTCAGTAAAGAAAAACATACGGCTTTAAAATCAGTAAATCTGATTAATGCTCCTTTTCTCTAATAAATCACAAACATATTTATAAAGTATTTCCCTCTCAAACACAGTTATCTGGATACAAGCAGCGCCGTCATTACATTTTTGTTTTGTTGCAAGTGTGACGTCATCGATCAACGTTATTTTGAAAACCCGCTGACGAAAATCAATAATTTAACACTCTGATGAAAAAAGAGAATGCTTTTATAACGATTATTACTCCAAAATGCTTTTCTATAATTTTTTTTAGTTTTTCTATTTATTTTTAATAGCTGAAATCATTCTTGAAATAGATATACTTGTTAAAGATTTTTTTCTTTCTGAATGTTATTACCCAAGTGTGAAGAGTTATCGTTCTTTGTTCAAATATGCATGATACAAAAAATAAAGATATGGCAGTTTTCTACAATTTTTAAAAAGTTTTATTATGCAATTAAGTACATTGACCAAAATTGAATTTTTAAAGATATAAATCATCAATTTTAAAATTCTGAATTTCCTTTTTTTTCAAAGAATATTATCAAAAACTTATTTTTATTCCTCGTATGAAACATTTCGTATAAATACTTCTCCACACGTGATACAAGGGTAGCAGAGATTGTTCTACACGAGTGTGATAGAGCAATTGCGCTCATAGTGGAAGCAATTGTGTCTATAGTGCTATGAATGCTGCTATGAATGCAATTGGTGACTACATGTTTATAGTTGGAAAGTGCAGTAAATATGCAAATATACAATTATGGACTCTTTTGGTGTTGAATATGGTTTGTTATTCACCAGAAAAATATTCATATTGACCGAGGCGAAGCCGAGGTCAATATGGATATTTTTCTGGTGAATAACAAACCATATTCAACACCAAAAGAGTCCATAATTGTTTTATTATATAGTCCGAATTCGAATAGATAAGACATTGAATGCTGAATGACGACGCCACTTTAATTTACGAACTTCCATAGTTGAAAATAAAAAAAGTCTCCTTATTACTGTTTCTAACCTCCGTGTTTTCCTTTCTGAGTTTCGCTATGCGTAAGACGTCTAAATGTCAAATAATAATCCTGAAATAGGTTTGAATAATTGTTTTCCTGCTCAGATACGTAGCTCGCTGCGGCCGTTGCAACCATTGTTTACAACGTTGTTTGATGTTTTGATTGTGACGTCACAATGCCGTTGCACGCGCATTGCCCCTTTGGTGAATACGGCCCAAAATCCGGTGAATATGCAGTGTTATGAACTGTTTGCGTTTGTATAGATTATATAGGGAATATAAATAGACTATATAATAAAAATTAAGATTAAGTATATTGATGAAAAATGAAAACAGGACTTCAATATATGTTATATATTTTTTAGAATATAAATGCAATATTATATGGTCATCATGCACAAACTATAGTAGGTGCACGCACGTGCAATGCGTAAAATGAACACTATATTTTATATAGCAGTTACTTTGATACTTTTTGATATAATGCTTTGTTACTCAGTATACAAAAATATATTGATAGTATGGATGTCATCATGCACATGCATACACGTGCGCACGGAAGAAAATGTTAAAATGATCAATATACTCAAAATAAGCGTACCTTAAGGTCAAGATCTAGTAAATGAAAGGTGCCTACAGATTTATCAAATTTGAGAAATAAATTCCTTTATTGATGCTTTACAACTTTAGCTAGGTCAAATAAGGTGTTTCGGGGCATAATTTGTGGGTAAACAAGATTAAAAACTGTATTTTAAACTGTCATTTTTTTTATGAAAAATAAAGAAAACCAGTCATGAATATGGGATTTTTTTTTTCATATTCGACAGAAGAAATACATCCAGATTGCCTACAGTCTCTCAGAAAACGGTAATTAGTATGTTCGTGGCCTCTTCTTTAAATTAATATCAAATTTAATATAGGTATCGGGTTTACTTTTCATATGAATTCAAATTGAATGTCATGAAAATACCCTTTTTTCTACATAATTCTGCTAAAGCCGTAAAGTACGGGAAAAGAAAGTTGAAATTGATTGTGACGTCATAATGGATCTAGCACCAAAAAATTAGTCTAAAGTTATTTACTAGATCTTGACCTTAATATTGTTTATATATTTTGATGAAATATTTTCATACTCAGATTATAAAGTTGTGTGAATAGTATAAACAAAATGATATAGTCATGATTTACATGATGTACGTGCACCAGCATGAAATGTTAAAATGATCAATATACTAGATATCATGATATGTAGAGCCGAAATTGATATATTTTTTTTAGAAAATGTTTTGATTCTCAGAATAACCCCAGTATAAAGATATGGTATATGGTCACCATGCACGTGCATGCGAGTATAACGCATTAAATAACCAATATTCTGCCTCTTCGTTAACTTTAAATAATCTGATATATAAAGAGACATAACATGCCAATTTAAAATCATCCGTACTTTATCAGTTACAAAATCAATGAGGATGTGTGACTGGTCATTTTTAATGTAGCGATGCACTATTGAACGTGTTTTAAACTTATAGATATTTTGTTATGATAAAAATGAACATCAACAAATCAGTCGAATTATACATGTGTACGAGGTCCTTCCAAAACACATCAGAGAAGGCAGTCGAGTTTCACTTCCCAGGATTTGTTCGTCGTGAGATCTATAGCGATAGCTTTTTTCTCTGTTAACCCAAATTGTAGCTGTATTTTCAGTGGTCTCCTTTCAAAATGATGGCAACAATCGGAAAAACCAGCAAGAATGCGCCCAATCATCGTACAATCTTTTTCAGTGCAGTACTGAACCTCTCTGTTGGCGCGATAAATCTCAATGTTTGCTTCTTGGAAATTTGGGGAATTAAACTCCATCTCTATACAAGTTTCCCCTATTACCAGTTCTTGGTTTTTACTTATCAAACATTTGAACACGTCGGTACACACTATATTCCCGGCTTGGTTCACGGATCTGTACAATGGTAGATGTTCACCTTCAATAAAAGGGACATCAGTGGCGACGCCATAATATGCACTGCTTTTTCGTGTGATACGTGTGCTCTCTGTACAGATTTCTAGCCCCGATTTCCTCATCAAATTCTCCGGACTATGTCCAAACAGAACAGCACCTTTCATCACCGCGACACTTCCCTCTTGAGGATTGATAACTTTTCTGTTTGGAAATTGACTCCTGATTGCTTTTTCCAACAAGGGACATTCAGAGAAATCGCCCACGAGTAAAATGATATTAATATGATCAGTTATCTCTTCTCTGATATAAAGGTCCTTCAAATGACCAGTCACATCTTCTATTGGACCATGAAACACTTTCTCAATTAAGAAGTTTTCACTAATACGCAACTTAGCACTGCTAAATGTTTTTATTTTGTTCGTTAATCTCATTTCTTGTAATTTTGAAACAACAGATCTGTTTTCATTGAATTTGGCATATTCAGTGAACAAATCACCTAGATTAGAAAAGGTCACATATTCTGTTTTTCCTTTGTGAGGATAATTGCGTCCAATTCTTTGTTTTTTAGCTTCAAAACTTCTTACAAGTTCAAGCCAATCTGAAGGCGAATGGCACTTAAATGTGTTTATTACATCTTTCCCAAAGATGCTGTTAAGTAAATCAAAGAAGAGTTCGTCTGAATTAGTTCTGACTTCCGTGTCCTCCGAAGCACAGTGCAGTTCTTTCAATGAGCTGTTTTCATTTACCTCGAACGATGTCACATTTACTGTTCCATCTGTAAAACACAAATAATTCGTAGAATTATTTTTATTTTTCTTATTTTATATTTTTATAATATCCAACTGATTTCTGTGCAACGAAGAGGAAATCCTTACAAATGACATTCTAACTAAAGAAATATTGCATTTTTATTTTATTTTTTTTAATGAACATGCAAGAGTAAGACGTGTGACACTATGAAAGGATCAGTTCCAATATTTCGCCTTTACCTACACAGTCCACCACCATGAATTTGCTTCCAGGTTCAAACTCCTCGATGTTGGTGGCATTGCTGTTTTCAGTAAGTTTTAACTGTTTACAGAGTAGAGCTGCAGACTCTGGCTCCAAAGCAAGAACCAAATGGTCGTCCTGTATGCCAGCCTTCAACAAAACATGATGCCCAGAGGCTTTAATAGTCAATTGAGTGTAACACAACACCATAAAGGCTCCGTAGAAGTATAACCTAAAATCAATCGATAGATGCAGCAATGTTGCTGAAAAATTCCAAAATCTGGTTAAAATGCCCTGTGCAAAACCTGAGTGATCTCCTTATGACTGTACGATTATGTAATTGCATTTAGTTTGTTTGATTAATACTCAGGGGCAGAAAAAACGATTTAACAGCATTAATGCCTTTTTTACTACATAATCATCAGAGCCACGTCCTAACACCAGAACCCATGACCATGGGGCCATGAAATTCACAATTTTGGAAGAGGCACCCTTCCTCGTTATAACTATGTACTTAATTACTTTGTTAAATACCCAAGAGAAGTTTTTCAAAGAGTTAATGCATTTTCAGTATTAAATAAATTGAGCCTACCCTAACACTGGAACCTATGGCCCATGCATATGAAGTTCACAATTTTGGAAGAGGCGCTCTTCCTTACCATAACTACCGGGTATATACTCAGTTAGTTTGCCTAATACCCAGGAGAAGAGATGATTTTAAAGAAATAATGCACCTACATAGCCCCGCCCTAGCACCTGAACCCCTGATCTCGGGGCCGTCAATTTTAATTACAATTTTGGTAGAGAACTCAATGCTGATTACAATCATGTCAACAGTTTGACTGCTTGATGTCCAGGAGTAAAGATTTCAAAAGATTGCAATTTTAATTTTATTGTTTAAGTCCCACTCTCATGCCCCATGGGAGCAGGTACCATGAAATTCACAATTTTTGTTCCCCTTCACCCATGAATGGTGTATGCCAGTATTTGTTCTAATAAGCTTAGCTTTTCCAGAGAAGAAATTGATTTGAAAATGTGCAAATGTCGACGGACGACGCACGACGCCAGACGAAAACGGATAACAAGAGGTCACTCAGGTGACCTAACAGAATTTTAATTATCAGAAAGTTCAGTCATCTTTTCACATTTAAATTGGAAATTTGTATTTACATAAAAGTTTTTTTTTTCTCTCGAAGATATAACATCAATGTGTTTCAATGTGTAATATAACTGATAAGATTACAGTGTTTATGACCTGTTACCTGAATAGCTGCCTCTCTCATGAATTGCTTGGCTTCGTCAGACCAGATGGCGGGAACTGTGAGAACCCACAATATATCAGCCGACCAGGAACAGGCTGCATTGTTCTTTGGGTCAACTTTTCTCTCATCATTGTCATTAACAGATTCCGATACATCTCCAGACATGTTACGTTCATTTTCCTTAACTCTCAGTGTTATTTTCTCCAGTAAATGTTCAAAATGCTCTTTAAAAAACTTTATTGATTCAGAAAATATTTTCAAAGCTGGCATTTTCTGTCCATTTTCTGCTTTTAATTGTAAGTTCTTTAACTTTCGATTTTTCCTCTGAAAAAAAAAGAGAAAAACTTGGCCTAAGATTGAAGTACTAGTACAATGAAGCGCATTGAAGTGGTAAAATTTTCCGTTCGAATGGAACGTTTTGAGCTATCTTTAGAACGTTTATTGTCATCTTATAACACGCCCATTTCTTTAGAAATGGATAAAACGGTCAATTTGTTTGTTCGAATACCTGTAGAACAGGTTTTCCATAAATATAATAGCCAATGAAATTGACGGTCTAGATAAACACCGAGTAAACACGTGTTCGACCGAAACATGTGTTGTGGTAACTTCAATAGACATGATAAGTTCAAAAATATGTACATACGTTGCACTTTGTGTTTTACAGAAGCGGGGAGTCTCTAACTCTCTCTTCTACTTTTTTAAAGCTCCATTTCAGTGTAACTCATATTGCTTTTCGCGAAGATTGGGGTGTCCTAAAACATTACGACGAATATTTCTTTCTCGTTTCTAAAAATATGGGCGTGTCATTATATTGTAATTGACGTTCAAAACATGACTCAGAACGTTTTGTCCAAACTGAAAATTTTACCACTTCAACGCGCTTCATTGTAGTTTAAAGGTCTCATTATTTCAATTCACAAAACTTGAATTTAAATGACACAATTTCACATTTGATTAAGATTTTGGAAACATCATTCCCTCGAGAAGAATCCATTTTAAGCTTGAAGTAGGCTTATATTAAATCCATTCTCCAGAGAACAGTTTGCACCATGAAAACTACACTGCTGCAGTGAATATTTCGGTAGCAAATAATCAAAATTGAAACATTTCCAGATTTGAGTTTGACGGTTGAGTGCCTTCGACATTTTCAGGTCGAAGTTTGGCCCATGGCTATCCAACACTCGGAACACAATTTGCATTTCACCATTACACTGCTGCAATTAATATATCCTTAAAAACTGAATTCGAATAAAAAAACAGATTTCCGGTTTGAATTCGAAATATCTGTATTTGTCATCGACGTTTTGAGGGGATAAAAGATTGGATAATATTTTCTTTTACGCTTACTATTCTCTGTTTCCAGGTCAAAGAATCACTGGTTGTATGCATCTTTTTGTTTCAATTCGATTTCGATTCTGTCCTATATTCTCTACATCGGAAGAAAACATGTTTGCCTTTACAACGCAAAATATAAACTGATTTTGGGAATTTGCATTCTTATATAAAAACTACCATCCCCCGAAATCCACCTGTAACTGTCCATTCTTTAGACAAAGAACAACTTTTATTATTTGCATCTGGAAACACAATGGCTATTCAACAAATTGCTGTGCACCCCAAGCTTACCTGTAACTGTCCATTCTGTAAACAAAGAATTTATAGTATGTGTGCTACCTGTTTTGCACATTTTTTGTTAAATTTTCAGAACAAAGAGAATCATGTTTTAAGTATGAGAAAGGCCTCAAACTGTCCATTCTGTAAGAGAAAGAACTAATAGATTAGTTCTTTCTCTTACAGAATGGACAGTTTGAGGCCTTTCTCCTTTACATAAAAATCAACTGCCAATATTATTTATGATCAACTTTTGTTGTATTTGGGTGACTTTTATGTTGCAAGCGCGATAACTCTCAAATCACGTCCGCCATTTTTCCGCGAATACTTATGGCACGACGCTGTAGGTTCTCATTTCACACAAAGATTGCCCATGACCCAAGGGTGTGTCATGACCTTGACTCAAGGTAATTTGGGGAAGTTCAAGGTCACTGCAAGAAAAATTTCATAATTTGTGGAACTTCAAGGTCACTGGAAGAAAAATTTCATAATTCGTGTCCGGTCCATATCTTTCTTATGATAAACTTGGTAGGTTCTCATTTCACACAAAGATTGCCCATGACCCAAGGGTGTGTCATGACCTTGACCCAAGGTCATTTGTGGAAGTTCAAGGTCACTGGAAGAAAAATTTCATAATTCATGTGTGATACATATTTTTATTATGGAAAAACTTACTTCTGAAAAACTCAGCGGGGGGTATTTTTTTATAGTCTTGTTCAAAAGAAGATTTTTTAAATTCTTCTCTGTACATTTTAATCTATTATTGAGGTTTCAATTTAGATGAGGGTCAAGACCTGTAAAGGAGCTCCCACAAGTTTCACCTTTTCTATAACAGTTTTTGAGAAGACTTATAAAAGTATTTCCGCCATTTTGTTTTTGCCCCCTTTTGCTTTGATCATATACATAACAACTAGGCAGTTTGCTACAAATCCAGTTTTATTTCCTAGATAAAAATCATAAAATTACAACAAAAACAACTTGGATTTTTGTATTGGTAAAATGTCAATGAATCTTTGCACATACAGTACATGGAAACTGATGATACTGATGATGCCTTAACAATATAAAACATTCAAGGTTAATAGAATGAAGACAAGGTCAAGAGTGAACACAATATTTTATAAGTCTACAATTCCCCCCTCTGAGGGCCTCACTTGGTGGACCGCCTTGAGGGTTCTGATGCTGTGGGAGGGGGAGGTACCCCACGTCTATGGAGATCCTCCATGTATGCCAGTAAAATCTTGGCTCTCTCCTCTGGCGCACACTCCAGTACTAAGTAACGCTTGTCATTCTAAAATAAATGTATATCTATCAGTTGTTTCCTTCTATTTGAAAAGGTGTCAAAAATCTTGTCATTCTAAAATAAATGTATATCTATCAGTTGTTTCCTTCTATTTGAAAAGGTGTCAAAAATCTTGTCATTCTAAAATAAACATATTACTATGGATTGTTTTTTTATTTTGAAAAATAACAGTACCAAAATTTGGTTATTTTAATCAGTTTCAAAATTTTCATCCCTTTTGCTAATTTAAGATTTACATCCAAGAAATGACCTCAAAATGTCAATCAAAGGTCTTCATCTGCCAATTGTGTGTTATAAAGGAAAACAAAATTTCACAATTAAAGAAATCATGTCCTGACACAAGTAAACAATTTTGATTTTTCCAATTTTTTATGACGATGGTCTTTTTGTACTACATCAGTGTTTGCCTTTGCAAAATATGTACATTCTTGATGGGGGAAAAAATCCTTTCAATTCATCAGCTGATAAATAAACATGTAACACACACCTCTAAAATCTTCTCAATGTCCTTGAGATGAGAATCAGTTTCTTCTATCAGCTTCTTGGATCTGGAAAACAAAGGAGTGGATCTTTTATTCCCTTTGAAGCTTTATAAATCATCTTAATTGCAATAAGAATTTATACTAGAAAAGAAACTCGTTGCGAGCAACGAGAGGTCTTCCGTCCGATTCTGAAATAAAAAAAGCAAGAAAATCAAAGGTAAGAAAATCATAAGTAAAAAATATTTTTTTAAAAAATGGGATGTTTGGGGTTCGCCCGCGTGACAATGCAAGGCGCTATCAATTCGGCCATTTGGATGTGAATACAAAATGAAACTTCGCCCATGTAGAAAATAGAATTTTCGGGGTCGAAGATCTATTTTTTTTTTCTTGTTTAAAAATTTCATGTAATTTATAGAAGTACTTTTTCCCAGGTTGATAAACCTCCCACTTTTAAAAATTATGCATACTCCGATTGGTATCCTAATGAGTTATTTAACTACATGTATGTGTAAAACGTACGTTATTACAACTCTTTTCCCCTTCAACCCCCCTTTGAAAAATTCTTCAACCCCCTTTGAAAAAATTGTAGATCCGCGCCTGAAATGTATATGATGGTGAGCGGAAGGATGTATGGACGACATATCTTTTTTTAATTCACCTTTAGTTCTTTTGTCTTAGAGCGTGCTTGTAGAAGGCTTTAGTTAAAAAAATCGTTATGAAACTTTATAAAGGTCACTGTCTATAAGTAACCATGGTAACTCTTGTGTGAATATTTGATAAATTTTAAAGCATTTACATTTTAAAATGGAAAAAAATCACAATATTACTTTCTTGATATATATTATTGACAATATGCTCAGTTCTCCATGGCACCTGCTCCCACCTCTAATCGATGTTTTTGAAGTCCGTGTTTCCTCTGGTTGTATTGTGTTTTATGAACTTCGGATCTTGAATAGTATACAATTCGTTTATCCACATGTTTACTGATTGGCCAGAAGATGTTGTACACTCGTTTATATTTTTATTAACGCTATAAAGTTGTTTTTCATCTCTTGTCGATATGATTAAGATGAAGTTAAATATCTTAGCATTTGATAGCATTAAAAAGAAAGAGAAAAGAAGAATGAGAAAAAAAAGCATTACCAACGTTTCTTAAACACTAGAAACTATTCATTTTATTTCATTACAACATGTTGTATGGCGCAGCAATACAATTTTAAAGAATCGAGGGAATAAAACCTTTAGACTGTTGACATACTTAGTATGCCAGACGGAAAACCTTGAAGTTCTTAATGTCATAGAACAACAGTTTTTACTAAATATATTTATGGTTTATGTATGGTGGACGTATTTTTATTTCTTGACGTCAGGCGAGGAGTCGAGGAGGGGGGGGGGGGGGGGGGGGCAACTACACTTTCAATTAACATTTCCTATACTTATAAGTCAGGCTGCGGAAAAAAAATACTTCAGTATTACTTATATTTACATTTGTGACTTATTCATTCTCAATATTTGCCCGATTGTGACTTTTAAAGTGTGAAATGCGTTATTTTTCAAACCCAAAGGCATGTATGTAATCCATGAGGATTGAACCCAGGTCACCAACGTGAATACGCGTTTTTGCTTTTATCCTCAACGCGCAAACCATTAAGCTATTGGGAGTACTGCTCTAAATATACTTGTCTAGACTTTTGCAACAATACACTTATCTAAGAATTATAAAAGGTGGCCACTATTCATAATATCGCGCCACGAGTAAATATTCGCGCATTTTCTTTGGACTGATCTATTAAATAGGTGTGATGGCTTCAATGAAATTAAAAACATGAAACGTTCTTATCGCCTTTATTTTATTTCGTTAAAAACGTATATTTAACACATTGTACACATTACATATTGTATCTAGCCTAGTTAAACTAAAGCAGTAAAACGGAAATTAAGTTTGACCTGAATTGCAACATACTACTACGTGAAAGTCAAAGTAGTTTTTTTACATTTCATGTATTCTTATGTCAGAATGGTTTAATCAAACGCTCAGCTGCCTCCATAGACCTCTACTCGCGAAATGGCGGAGTTGACAGAGACAGCCTCCATCTTGGTCCCGCTTCAGATTTTTTAATGTTGATATCTAGAGTTTTGATTTATCAATATTCAAACAAATTATATAGTAAGCATCAATAGAAGGGTCTCTATTAGCATTCTAAAAATAAATAAAAAATATTGAAAAACAAAAAAGTTAGAAAATACATTTTTTTTAATCCGTTTCTCCTTACGACAGGAAGTACCGACAACGAACGAAAGGTCGCGTCCTGGATAGTATATATCACGATCTATAATCCCTGAAAGTTTCACATTTATATCCTCTACCGTTCTTGAGATTAACCGTAGACAAAATGTCATTTTAAATTCAGAAAATGTCCCGTAACTTGGCACCAGAAGCGAATTTTCAAAAAATCTCTCGGAAAAAATAACTTCAGATAATAACACATAATTTCTGTAAATTTCATGAAAATCCGCTCAGTAGTCTTCGAGAAACCGCGTGCACAAAATTTGATGTACGGAAAAATAATAATAATAATAATAATAATAAGAAACAATAGAATCACTATAAGGTCTTCCGTGAAGACGGAAGACCTTAATAAAGGTATCAGATTTTACTCAAAGCTAAACTGATAGTTGAACAAACTGTTAGCTTTAGCCTTTGAAGTAGATACTCATGACTTACTTGTATGTAATCAGTTTAGTCTCCTTCAGAAGCTCTCTGAAGTCAGCTTTGGCCTGTACATACTTCTCATGGATATAATCACTGAATTCCTTCTCTCTTTTCTAGAAAGACACACATCATAGATGTCATGTAACAAAATTACATGTACTCTGTGTATTAAATAACAGTCACTAATTCATTTCATGAAATAAGCTAGTAAAATTTTCAATTAACAAGGGTTTTTTCCCATTTTTTTTTTTATTTCTTTACAATGTCTTTAAATACATGTATAACATAACTTTAAATCAATATCCTTTTCAATTCAGTGAGGTTCAGAAATAGGCTTTATCAGGAATATACCTTCAGATCTTTATAGAAATTACTAATAACATTTTACAGATTGAGTATAGGTAGCTGTATTTACCCTGTCACTTGAGGAGAACTTCGAGTAGCGTGGATCTTCCTTGATTTGTTTCTTCACTTCTTTCCAAGTTGCCACTAAACTGATCTGTATATCAGAAAGAAAATCTAAATCAATCCATGTATGGAAAAATATTCTAATCATATATCATAATTTGAATGTACACATAGAGAATTTAATATGGCCTTTGTAACCACCCCCCTCCTTTTCCCCTATTGTTGAAGCTCAGATTTAATGACAAAAACAAATTAATATTTGGTCTTTAAGCTACTGGTACTTCATAAAAACAAAAAAAGAGGACTTATCTTACTTAATAATCAAACAAACAACAGCTGTGTACACATATACCTCCTATTTTATAGAGTGATTCTTGTACAACTACTTACACTTGTCTCGTCCAAAAGTTTGTGGAACATTTCTTTGTTTTTCTTGAACAAGCTTTCTATGTGTTCTTCAAATATCTTTTCCTTCTCTTCCCGGTCCAGAAGTTCCGCTAATTCCCAGCGATGATCTTTCCGTAGTTGTTTACGTGTGTCTCGCCATGTTGCCTCCGAGTTACGAACCTAAAAAATTAATAGAAAGTTACGTACCAGTAGTTCCTTTACAGACAAATCTAGAAAAATGTATCCCTTTTTTAAACTATTTCTAATGCTCAGGACTTTGCATTATAATCCGAAAATTCTAATCAACTTGTACATTGTACTGCTTGTTTTGATGAAATGATAGTTCTCTTATTTGAACACTTCAATTTAACAAAATGGGTGTTGATTCTGCTGTTCTATTCTACTTCTAGAATACAGGGGTTTCTATCACATTTAACGACCAATTGGACAGTCCTGTCAGTTTACTATAGTTCTTTCCTGATTCCCTCTCACTAGTATGCTGAATAACTCTTTTTACTGGTCCCCTGCCTGGTTAACCTCCTATAATTTACTTACGAGATCCACCAGCAGAGCATTAAAGAGCTGCACGGCTTCATCCTTCTTGTGCTGCTCCCTCTCTTTGTCTCTCTCCCTCAGTGAACTTGACAGTGACCGTTCCACTTCCTCCGTACGCTTCCTTATGCTGGCCTCAATTCTCTCTTGCTTCTCTCTTTCTTTCCTCTCATCGTCTGAATCCTGGTAAAACAAAGAGGTGCATTACTGTTTCTCTGTATTATGTGCAATAGAGCTTGTCCACACTGTCCTTTTTCCAGTTAGACACAACTAAAGGGAACAGGCTTATAATGAATTGACATTTGAGCACAGTGAATTTCATTCCCTATTGCCGTTTCAAATATGTTGTGATATTAAGGGATATAATGAATTACATAACAATGCAAAATCATTTGTCCCTGTCTCTTTGATATTAGCGTGATTTACTGTAAATCATTTCTTTACTTCTCTCTCTTCTTTACATGTACATTTCCTTTTCTCCTTCTATCTCTCTCCCACATTATTTTTCCTTTATACATATGCCTTTCCCTCTCTTTTCCCCCTCCCCCTACTTTATGCTCTCTAAGTTTCCCCCACTCCCCTGTATATCTCCATTGTGTATGCCCCTTTATGTAAGTCTTTCCCTCCTCTATCCCCCTCCCTTTGCCTAAGTCCCCCTCCCCCTCTGTATACCCCCCTTCTGCCCCCCCCCCCTCCTGCTCACCTCTTCTCTGTCTCTGTCTCTCTCTTTGTCTTTCTCCTTGTCCTTGTCTCTCTTATCCTCCAACTTCCTGACGTAGTCCTTAAACCAATCCTCCCGCCGCGAGCTGCTGTCCACAGCTTTATAGCGAGAATCCGAGTCAATCTTACGCTTGATCTCACTCCAGCGTGAGTGACGGTCAATGTCTGATGTCTCCTTCAGAAGTTGGATAAAGTCAGCCTTCAGCTGTAAAACAAAACTCACATCAAAGTAGGAGTTCTAATCAGCATGTAAAAAGATTAACTCTGAAATGAAAATAAAGATTAGCATTTCTGTGATTTCTATTCATTCCTGAAATAAAATTAAGATTTAGAGAACATACTTCAGAGTCTAATTTATTTCTGTTTATGTGAAACATCATTATCAGCAAAGATGATTTTAAAAAACAGCAAGACATTTTTATAGTAACATGTCTGATAATGGTGTTTTCTGAAAAAAAAAAAGATGTCATATTTGTATGAAATACATGTAATTAGACTTATTTCAACAACTGGCACACATTTCTTAAAAATCTTTAAGAATTCATTTTGATTTTGCTCAATTAAAATACAATGAAATTATTCCAGACGTAAATTTACAGATAATGCAAAATGACCAGTAAAAACAATGTTTAACATACAAGACTTCAATACATATGTTCATTTGGAGCTTAAAAATAATATCAATGTACATTTCTTATTGTTGTTAGAAACAAATGGTTTCATTTGTCTCCTAGATTTGACAAATCCCTCACAATAGTGTTTTCAATAAATGCTTCATCTTGTCGGACTGATTTAAAATTTAAACAATTTGTCTTACAAAGGAAAACAAATGAAATCATTTGTTTCTCTCAATTAAACATGGCATAATTTTTATTTTTTTTAAAAAAAGATAATCACAAAAGGCAACTATTATTCAGCAATAATGCAATGCTTTTCTGACTTTAAAAAAAAAATGTCGAAGCAGGTCCAGAAAACTGGACCCCCTCAGCAGATTTCAAAACAAAAGAAGCAAATACCAGTTAACAGTGGCTGGGTGGTCGCCGTGAGAACTAGGGGTGCTCCTTAACCCTGCTCTTGTAGCCTCTTTGTAAAGGGACAATAAGATTAAAAACAAAAGGTTGCATCATGGACAAAAATAGATTCATCTTACAGATAAAAAAAAACTTTACTTTGACCATTATTTTAAAATAATAAAATAATGAATAAAACACTTGAATCTATGCCACTTTTATTATTATCTTTATATTTCATTTAAGCCACAGAAAATTTAATATTAAATACTGCTTTGCAAAAAATGTGATTAAACATTAATGAAATAAATAAATGAATATCAGTTACTGGAAACTTTGGAGAAAATTAAACATTAGAGAACAGAATTTATGAAGTTGGTCTGAACTTCACAAGTTCTCACTTGCTTAATGATCTCCCCTGAAAGGTGAAAATTATTACTGAGCACTGAAATAAATAGCTACATGTATCATGTGTAATGGAAATCAACAAAATAATGTTCTGAATCATTCCATAAGCCCAATTATAGAAAGAATTATGACTTAAAATTAATGAATTATATTCTTCATAATATTGAAAGAATGAAATTCTCAAACATAAGACACAATGATTCATTATATTCATTATAAATGTTACGTTTTAAACTATTGCTAAGCAAATTAAATCATATATTAACACAATATTCAAAACAATGCAGACTTCCTAATTTATTCATCATCTTCTGTTTCCAAATCTTGAAAGCTCTTCTCCATTCCATGATAGTTCATAGTTGAAATGTATGTGTACTAAAACATACATGCATATTAATTTCTTATTGAATTAAATTCACTGTGGAAAATGTCCACAATTTTTTTAAATATAATAACTTTTAGTCTATTTCTTTCGATGTATATGCATATATATATGTGAGGACTAATTCCAATTGATGAAATTTTTAATGTTTTGATTGACATTACTTTTCATGAGTAATTTACATCATGGAATGCAGGGAAAACTTCCAAATCATGTTTTTGTACAAGTTTTCTACAGGTATAAAACTTGAGAGAACTGTACAATTCCACAAGATGGTCTTACTTACGATACAGACAGAGTTACCTACCTTTTCTTTTTGACTTGATTTTTCCTCCTTCTCTTTACGACGAAGATCCGAGCAATAATCGCTGAAAATACTCTCCCGTTCTCGCATTTTCTCGATTCCCTTGAATCTTTCATCTTTACCGTATTTGGAAGCAAACTCACTGAAGGACGATCTACAATAAAAAAAATTGTTAAAGAACAAATAAACAACAAATTATGTTTCTCTATTCCTAAGTTGTCTTTAAATCAATCATGTACCCAGATCAACCTTACAAAATACATGTAAGGAAGAATAAAGTCACAAGATGGGGTATGGATTCAATTTTGTCAAGATACACATTAAGTGCCATTCAAATAAAGAAAACAAATAAAATGAAGTATATGAAGTACATACTTTCCGTGCAGCTTTGCCTCCTCCAGTAGTTGTCGGAATGAGTCCTTCTTTTCCCGCAGTTTTCGGTGTTTCTCCCGCCTTTCCTCTTCAGCTCGCTCCTTGACGTACTGCTCAAAGACTTGCTTCCTTTCCTTGGACGTCAGTAACAGATATCGCTGGTCAAACACGATCTTGTGTAGCTCCTTCTCCCAGGTAGAAAACGCAGATACCTACAGCATTCAGTAAAGGTTTCACTCTAACAGAACACTTATTTTGATTTCAACGGGCAAATTAGTCAATGCTATGTAAAATATCATTTGGCAAAATATTCAATGCACACAAAGTGAATGCTATGTAAAATATCAATTTGTAAAATATTCATTGCACACAAAAGGAATTTATTTTTTAAGTTAAAAGCACCAAAATGTATGCTTTTGAGATATTTATTAATAAAATCTTTATGTATTCTTTTCAGTCAGAATAATTTTTTTTCCTACACTGGACTGAGACTTAGTATAATCATTTCTATTTCACAGGCACTTGTATATAGAACAAGTCTCTGACTGTGTCGTTCTGTAGTTTTCTTTGTCTTCCTGCATTACACGTAAATATGGCATCCAAAAAGAATTCTAACCAAGATTCAAAATAGGGTAATTATTCATCATTTTCATAAGACTCAAAATAGCGTAATAATTCATCATATTCTTGACTCAAAATAGAGTAATTATTACTCATATGGTTTACCAATTGCATGAGATAAATAAATGAAGGAAAATATTTATTTACAGTAATTATTAAGAGAAATTATACAGTATTAGTGTATGTGAACAAATTGTATAATCAAAAATTTGATACATGTATAATGCTTTTTCATTCTTTGTAACACATATCTCATGGTCATATAACTACAATATGTACACTAAATAATCTTTTAAAAGGAACATATAGCATTTCACTATAAAACAGAGATGACATAACTACCTCCTTCTCGGCCAGCATGTCCCTGAACTGCTTCATTCGTATCTCCAGCGGGACGACAGCTCTCTGTCGGGCGGCCTGGACCTCCGCTTCAATGGCTGCTTCCTTACCTACATCAATCGTCCGCGGACCACCATCCTTCTTATCCTCCATGTCCTCTGTTTCAATCCTGTCAATGGTTAATCACGTGTTACTAAAGCACATCGTTTACCTTATATCTAACAGATGATATAATTAGCGATAAAATTTTGTGACCTTTCCCAAAATTAAAAAAAAACTTCATTATCTTCTATTTTTTAACACTATCTTGCAGCTTTTTAGTTGATTGGGTGCTTGGTTTTAAAATGATGTATGTAGTAATCAAAGATCAAAATGATTATATTTTATCCAGAATTAAATGTCCCCTTTCCAGGCTTTTGAAAGCTTATTGCATTTTTTTTTCTCCGTGCCAAATTAACATGGCTTAAACAATGTCTCAAACAAAAGAAATATGTCGTAATCAGTTTTTGGCATTGGGAATGGTAATGTTTATCAGTACCAGTCATATAAGGTAAAAATACTGTCTTATTTTGGCCAAACTTGTACTTACTTGGCCTTCTTTGCCTGAGGTTCATCCTCTTCTTTCTCTGCTCCTTCATTCAGAAATTTAAATCATTAAAATCAAAGAGCTAAAAGTGCTGACAATTTTTAAAAATTCTTAATGTAAGTAAATATCACATTCAACTGCTTTAAAAAAGTGGGTTATTGTCAGAGATTCTTAAGCTATATGTGTACAAAAATTAATTGATTCTAAATCAATGCATCTCACAAATACTGTGTTTTTTGCAAATTAAACATTCCTGGAATGAGAATACCATATTCGTCATACTGGTATTTTCTGTAAACATTTAATGTTTTACCTTTGTTGTTGTCGGGAGGACCCTGGATCATCTTGTCCACATCAGCTCGTCCAATCAGCTCCTCCGGTTTCTCCCAGAGTGAGGCTCGCTGACTTGGGTTGTAGAAGAAGACACGCCCATCTCCCGTCCACACCACACACCTGTCAGAAATCAAAAGGTTACAGTGTATAAGACCATGATCATCATGTTTTTATAGTTGACTGCCATTAGTGGTTGCTCTTTTTATTTTTAAAATCTTTACTGGTAAGCTTGAGATTTTGAGATGTAACTACTGCAATACTCCTACATCAATTCTAGTTGGCAGCATAGGTACATCATAACTACATTTCAACTCTGCTGTTTTATTCAGAAGCCATTAATTACCATGGAGTCCCTGACACGGGGGTACTGGATACGGGGCGAGATTTGTCCACGTTCTTCTGTTCTTCTGTTTTCTCCTCCAGCTCCTCCTTCTTTACCTTGAAATAAACAAGAAGTTTTCAAATAGCAAATCATACATATGTTACAACTTTACAACCTTTAGCACATCTTTATGCTGGTTACTTATAATCAACAATATTCCTCTTTACTCATTATCATTTCATGAATATAAGGCACATTTTATTTACCTCCTCTTCTATCTCCTTTTCACTGGTTTCCATGGCAACCTCCTCACTGCTGTCTTGTGTAGGAACAGTGCTGCCATCTCCACTGTCTTCAGGAGAGGTCACTGATGGCTGGGGTTGCTGCAGGGCTGCTATTTTAGCTAGTGACAAAATTACACTTCATGAGAATTCATTTATTGCGAGTGTACATTGTACATTGTAGGCTTTTTTCAAAAACATTATTATATTTGCAACTTAATTGCATTTTTTGCTACAAAATGTAAATCAACAATGCCTTGTATCTACTTTCATCAATATATATGTTGCAAATTCTGTAATTTAACAAAGCCAGTATAAACAACTCTAATAAAATCAGATTGAAATCCTGATGATGAAATGACCATCACAAATTCATCCTTGTCGATGGTAGACTATTTAACATAATAGATAAATCTTCAAGGTTGAATTGATAACTCCATTACATTTATCATTTCAGATGAAATGATTACTCTTCAGTATATTACTACTGTATACAGAGTTACTTTCGCCCCGTTTAATTTTCACCGTTTTAAATTTGCCATGTCATAGACTATGCGATAGTTTTATCCTAAAAATTATATTGTATCATTTAATTTTGCTCTGTTTTAAATTGATCCAAATTAGGGTAGAGGGACAGGGGCAAAAATAAAAGTGGGCGAAAATTTCCCTGTGTACAGTGTTTGGTGATGAAATGACTGAACATGTGTTTTCTAGGAGCTTTACCTTCCCATTCCACCAGGACCTGAGGTTTGTCCCAGGTCGACTCCATCTTGACAGAGTTGTAGAAGTAAGATCTACCATCAGCGTTCTTGTGCTCAGACCATTCTGCCACCTCTGGAGGCTTAGGGGGCAGCTATAAAAATAAACAGCAGTGTTATTATGGGAAAAAATTAATAGAATTTACAGGGAGAGACATTTACTTATCACAATATACTGTGTAGGCAGTAAACACTTGACCTAATCAGGGTGTACCTGACTACATGTGTAATTTCTTATTACATGTATGATATTTTATGAGCTTTATGACCTGACACACATCTGGTACTTGATTGGGGGGGGGGGGGGGGGGGGGGGGGGTAAAGGAAGTTTCAAGATGAGTAGTTGTGGAGAAGCCTTTTACCTGTTTTAAGGAATTTAGATGGGGGGGGGGGGGGGTTAGTTACCTAAGTGGTAGGTAGTTTATGGGCAACCTAACCTCTTGTGCATGTAGATGGGTGGGAGGTGTAGTTACTTGTGTGGTGGGTAATTTGTGGCTGTTAGTTACCTGTGTGGTTAGTTTGTGGGCTGCCTAGTTACCTGTGTGGTGGGTAGTTTGTGGGCGGCCACAGCTTCAGGCACCTGTTGCTGCATGTCTTCTCCCATTCCCTGGTTGTTGGTCTGGTTGTGCTGTAAGAATGGAGGGGTCAGACCTGGAGGCATCATAGGACTGGAGAAGGCTGAAACAACGGTATAAAGATTTACTGATTCTTGTGGCTAGAGAAAGCTGAAACAACTGCACAAAGATATACCGATTCATGGTCATCAAATAACACAAAGAAGTACTGAAACATTACCTGGTGGTATTTGTTACACAGTTAGTTTGGGACCTAAAACAGATTCAGCTAGGGTGTGAAATCCATGTTGGGCAAGGAAAAACCAGTTCCTCATATGTTTTCTATTTCACACCCTCTATGACTTGGTTTTAGATCCCAAACTAGCTAATTAATAAAGACAAACAATAAAATTAAACTAAACAAAGTTGTCTATATTTTTTTTACTTATCTTACCTGGAGCTTGGTCTCCGTTGACAGCTGATGGTTGTGTTGTCTGACCTGTAATTATACCATGACAATATACCTAAATACTCACTACTTTCCATTAATATTTTGAACCCTTTCTTAATTGAAATAAATTTTGCTTGTTGGTTTTTACATTCAGTTTTTTTATGTTTGAGGCATACCTACAGTGTATTCTTTTCTATGGAAAGCATAGTCTGTTTTATTTTCATTGTGTGCATTATGTTATGATAAAACCTGTTATTGAAATCAGGTGTTTCTATTTCTGTCTGTTACCTGTTGTCATGCCAGTATTTGGCAGTGTGCCTGTGAGCCTGTCTGTGTGCCTGTCTGTGTGTTTGTGTGTTTCTACCTGTTACCTGTTGTCATGCCAGTATTGGGCTGTGTGCCTGTCTGTGTGTTTCTGACTGTTACCTGCTGTCATGCCACTACTGGGTCGTGTGCCTGTCTGTTTGTTTGTGTGTTTCTATTTCTGTCTGCTACCTGCTGTCATGCCAGTATTCGGCTGTGTGCCTGTCTGTGTGTTTGTGTGTTTCAATTTCTGTCTGTTACCTGCTGTCATGCCAGTATTGGCCTGTGTGCCTGTCTGTGTGTTTGTGTGTTTCTGTCTGTTACCTGTTGTCATGCCAGTATTTGGCAGTGTGCCTGTGAGCCTGTCTGTGTGCCTGTCTGTGTGTTTGTGTGTTTCTACCTGTTACCTGTTGTCATGCCAGTATTGGGCTGTGTGCCTGTCTGTGTGTTTCTGACTGTTACCTGCTGTCATGCCACTACTGGGTCGTGTGCCTGTCTGTTTGTTTGTGTGTTTCTATTTCTGTCTGCTACCTGCTGTCATGCCAGTATTCGGCTGTGTGCCTGTCTGTGTGTTTGTGTGTTTCAATTTCTGTCTATTACCTGTTGTCATGCCAGTATTGGCCTGTGTGTCTGTCTGAGTGTTTGTGTGTTTCTGTCTGTTACCTGCTGTCATGCCAGTATTGGCCTGTGTGCCTGTCTGTTGTTGTGCCATAGCCTCTACCTCAGCTTGTGTAATGATTTTAACATTTTCTGGTTTTGTCCATGCTGACTCTCTAGTCCTTGCATTGTAATAGTATGCCTAAAATTAACAAAACGATATTCTTTTCACAAACACAGAAGTGTCAACAAATTGAACATGCCAAATGGACTGTGTAGATTTTGTTCTAACCTAATTATCTATATCAATCATATTTCTAGGCTCTATCTCATAAACCTGAACAACCACAAATCTCTATTTTTCATCTAAGATCTCTATGTCAAACTCAAATTTTATCTCATTATTCAAAACTTTGAGATATCTCATTATGTGCAGCATTAAGATGATTTACCCCATTATCTTTAACATTCATATATCTCTGTTCATTAATCTTATCATACTAATCAGTATCTTTAATACTCAGGTATAAAGCTTCATGTTCAAAATTTCTTTATGCAAGATGAGTTGTGACATTCTACAGTAAACAGGTAAAATTCTGTTTGTAGCTCACTCCATCTAATATTTCTGTAAAACAAGGTCAAGTAGCCCCCTCTGCTTACCTTTCCTTCTGCGGTTTTTGTCTCTACCCACAGCTCCTCTCCGCCTGTCCCTGGTGGTGTGAGGGATGACTGGGGAAACCCTGGGGGTGGAACTGAGAAATTTGGAGGTGGCATCCCCGGAGGGGGCATTCCAGGGGGTGGCATCATTGGGGGTCTCTGAGGGAGAAATACACAAACTTTAACAGAGTATATCTAATAATGTGTAAAGAATACAAATTCAGAAATATAGTTTTCAGGGTGAAGTAGCTGGGTCTTTTTTGGGGGGGGTCCACTTATTTTCTGATTTTCTAACATGATCATAAGAAAGCTTGCAGAGCTTTTTTCAATCGATCGTCCATGACTACATGAAAGAGTAACGTATAAACATTACTTAGTATTAATTCCTTCATCTGACTGAATGTTTCGGGCAGTTCCCTGCCTGAGCTCAATACTCTTGATTTTTAAAACATCAGATATTTAATGCTAACAAAGTGTATCCATCTTATGAATATAATGGGCAATGAACAATTAATCCTAAGGAAAATAAAGACTCTGCAAACATAGCCCTGTTTGATTGACCATCAGAACTTGACTTAATATAGCTTGGTAAAGAAGCATGAAAATTTATACCACATCAAATTCTTGATATGACTTGATCACAATGCATTGCAATAACTTATATGATTTTGGGCAAGCTTAGCACCCTGTATTCTGTAATTTTACCATTCCTGGAGGTGGACCCATTCCTGGGGGTCCCATGCCGGGAGGCCCCATACCAGGCGGACCCATTCCAGGTGGTCCCATTCCCGGTGGTGGAGGTCCGTAATTAGGATCAAATGGAGGTCTGCCATAGGGTGGAGGTCTGGGTGGTCCGCGCATCATAGGTGGTCCGCGCATCCCTGGTGGCCCCCTCATCCCCGGGGGTCCCGGTGGTCCCCGGAACCTCGGCGGCCCTCCTGGTCCTCTGCCATTAAAGGGTGGCCTGTTATTAATTAATCATTATCAAGAATTCCAAAAAATCTACTCTTGTAAATACTAACTTAACTTAAAAGAATTAATTTTGCATGCATTTTTTTCTTCCTTGTGCAAAATCACCAATGCATGCATCCATTGTTTACCTTGGACCTCTTGGAAATCCCCTACCTCGCGGTGGCCCACCAAACCCACCACGAAAAGCTTTTGATCCGTCACCATAGCCATCTGGCATTCCTTCAGTACCCGGTACCTGCTCGACAGTTTCATTCTGAACAGGTTGTTCTGTCTCTAGCGTTGGTACCTCCTCGTCGGCCATTTTTAACACGTTATTGCAAGTTTGCTTTCTGGTTCTCTTTGCTCACCCATTTCTCAGAGAACCAGTTTTTAGTGAAGTGACATCGTATTTTCGTAAAAATATTTTCTCATCAGAGTCTTCATTTTCATGCTGTAATTTCATAACAAATTGTAGAATGATTGATATTTAAAGAATTTGACTATATTTTATACATTGTTTTACTTCTAGATATAGGATGATGATTTATTATTGTATACGAAAATAATGCTCCATAACAATAGAGTGACGTCATTTTTGAGAGTGAAACTTGAACATGTGATACAAATCTATATTTAGCTGATGGCCATTCGATCAGTATATCCTATCTAAGTTATCTGTTTTAAATCGAATATGTCCAATGCTCCTCCACCAGACGTAACTTTTGTCCCAAATCCCAACAGAGCAGACTATTTACAGCGATCTCCCACAAGAAGTGGGCGGGGAAACGAGGAAAACTCCCCACTGTTAGCACCTAGGGTAGAACATGAATATGGACTCTTTGACAACAATTTCCCGGATGACCCGATTTTTCAAGAAATAATCCGAAGTGCCGAATCGGCCATAGAGGAGGGCATTTTACCTGAGCGTATAACACAGGGGTCCAGTGGGAGCTACTTTGTGAAGAACAGAGAAAAGGTAGGTCTCCTCAAAGGTTTTCAACTGTCTTGACTTGGAGGGAGTTAAAGCAACTGATTACAAGATATGGGTGGGACTTAAATTTATAGTAAGCTTGTGTGAAGTTTAATTGACAGAAAAGTTTTCATATTTCAAAAGAATCATACTTCTTACTAGTTTTTTTTTGTAACGGGAGTCCGAGAGGAGAAAAATGCAGCACACCAGACCACATGATTCCAACCCTGGTCCCCTAAATCTCCAGTCAGGTGCTCTACTATATGACCACTGGTAATAGTTATAATCTGTCTGGCTGCCACATTCCTCCCTCCTTAAAGGTCTTTGTTTGATCCCTTAAAGATCCCAATTAACTCAGGCTCCTCCCTTGCAGGTCTTCCATTGCATGGCATAGCACCAAATGTAATGTGAAAGGAGAAAATGTAGTTGTTAGACTTGGATTTGAACCTGGACCCCTGAATCTTTAGTCAGGTGCTCTACTAACTGGTGATTGAACCCATCTAACCGACATAATTGAATTTTTTGTCTTTTTCGGACTTCATTTAAATATATTCGTTGTTACTCGATCATGACCAATATTTCAGACAAACATTAGCACACACAACTTAATCTGTTGCGAGCACAGTTGAATTTTCATTATACTGATACGTATTCTCTTTTAACTATAAGAGTATAACAGTTGTATGGTGAGAACCTAGTAAGTTGTTAGAACTTGTGTTCAAACCATTTGTATAGTATTTATACAATAAAATATGTTCAAACCATGTTCAAACCAACTATAAGATCTACCTCTTTGAACATGTCCTGATCTACATTTGGAACATCTTGACTGTGACATGATCAAATCACATGACATCATAGTTTACTTGCATTTCCTTAAATGGCTTAATTAATAGAGGCTAAAACTGCAATTTTTGAAAAAAATCATTTTCATCAAAGTCTCCTTTTTTATTCTGAACACATATAAGGAACAGATTTTCATTTAATGCATTGTTATACATGTTAATACACACAAATAATTTATTGTATTTTTACCATTTAATATTAAAGTAAGGTTAATAGTTTCTTTTTCATTTCTAACTTCTGTATCTACTTGTGGTCCTATTTATTTGCGATTGTCACATCATTATCACTCTGAATGAACCTTTTGTAGTATAATTGTAATGAGTTAGAGATAGTTTAATTTTACTGAAAACAATTCACAAAGTGTAGATATAAGATATTTCTTTTAAAAAAGTCAGTGTGTCAAGACTGTAATGGTTTACTCTTCAACATACAGTTTTTTCTCTACAATGTAGGAATTAAAAAAGACTCCTACATATACTGATTGTTATATTATTAAATTACAAGAGGCCCAAGGGCCACATCGCTCACCTGAGCACATCGTCTAGGAAAAAGCACAGATCAGGTCAGAACTGAAAAGTTTACTGAGAAGGGGACGGGTCCTACCCTCCCTACCCCAAAAGGCTATGATTTGATCAAATTTAAATCTTTAATACATGATGATGCTTACATGTCAATATGACTAAACATAGCTTTTCTGTTCTTCGGATTTTTCCTTTATTTTATTTTCCATTATTTTTCTATGTAAAACTTTGATCGACCTTTGTGGCCCCAGCCTTTCCCTTGGGGGAATGGGGGGGGGGGGGGGGGGGGTTGGGGGGGTTGGTTATGATTTGAACAAACTAAAATCTACACTAAGGAGGTTGATTCCATATAAATATCACTAATCATGGCTTTGAAGCACTTGAGAAGAAGATTTAAAAAGATTTCCATATATATTTCTATGTAAAATTTTCATCTGCCATTGTGGCCCCGCCCTACCCCCGGGAGTCATGATTTGAACAAACTTGAATCTACACTACCTGAGGATGATTCCACATGAGTTTCATCTTTCCTGGCTCAGTAGTTCTTGAGAAGAAGATCTTTAAAGATTTTTCCTATATACTCCTATGTAAAACTTTGATGGCCATTTTGGCCCCACCCTCCCCCCGGGGGTCATGATTTGAACAAACTTGAATCTATACTACCTGAGGTTGATTCCACATGAGTTTCATCTTTCCTGGCCCAGAGGTTCTTGAGAAGAAGATTTTTAAAGATTTTTCCTATATACTCCTATGTAAAACTTTGATCGGCCATTGTGGCCCTACCCTACCCCCGGGGGTCATGATGTGAACAAATTTGAATCTATACTACCTGAAGATGATTCCACATGAGTATTATCTTTCCTGGCCCAGTGGTTCTTGAGAAGAAGATTTTTAAAGAATTTTCCTATATACTCCTATGTAAAACTTTGATCGGCCATTGTGGCCCCCCCTACCCCTGGGGGTCAGGATTTGAACAAACTTGAATCTACACTACCTGAAGCTGATTACACAAGACTTTCATCTTTCCTGGCCCAGTGGTTCTTGAGAAGAAGATTTTTAAAGATTTTTAGCTCACCTGAGCCGAAGGCTCAAGTGAGCTTTTCTGATCACATTTTGTCCGTCGTCCGTCCGTCTGTCCGTCTGTCCGTCCGTCCGTCTGTAAACTTTTCACATTTTCGACTTCTTCTCAAGAACCACTGGGCCAATTTTGACCAAACTTGGTACAAAGCATCCTTGGGTAAAGGGGAATTTAAATTGTTAAAATAAAGGGACATATCCCCTCGCAAGGGGAGATAATCAAGAAAAGACAAAAATAGGGTGGGGTCATTAAAAAATCTTCTTCTTAAGAACCACTGGGCCAGAAAAGCTGAAACTTATGTGGAAGCATCCTAGGGTAGTGTAGATTATAAATTGTTCAAATCATGACCCCCAGGATAAGGGCGGGGCCACAATGGGGAATCAAAGTTTTACATAGAAATATATAGGAAAAATCTTTGAAAATCTTCTTCTCAAGAACCACTGGGCCAGAAAAGCTGAAACTTAAATGGAAGCATCCTGGTATAGTGTAGAATCTAAATTGTACAAATCATGACCCCCGGGGGAAGGGCGGGGCGACAAAGGGGAATCAAAGTTTTATATAGAAATATATTGGAAAAATCTTAGAAAATCTTCTTCTCAAGATCCACATGGCCAGAAAATCTGAAACTTTAATGGAAGCATCCTGGGGTAGTGTAGAATCTAAATTGTTCAAATCATGACCCCCAGGATAAGGGCGAGGCCACAATGGGGAATCAAAGTTTTACATAGAAATATATAGGAAAAATCTTTGAAAATCTTCTTCTCAAGAACCACTGGGCCAGAAAAGCTGAAACTTAAATGGAAGCATCCTGGTATAGTGTAGAATCTAAATTGTTCAAATCATGACCCCTGGGGGAAGGGCGGGGCGACAGTGGGGAATCAAAGTTTTATAAAGAAATATATAGGAAAAATCTTTGAAAATCTTTTTCTCAAGAACCACAGGGCCAAAAAAGCTGAAACTTATGTGGAAGTATCCTTGTATTATGTAAATTCTAAATTTTACAAATAATGACCCCTGGGGGATGGGTGGGGCCACAATTGGGAATCAAAGTTTTACATAGAAATATATAGGAAAAATCTTTGAAAATCTTCTTCTCAAGAACCACTGGGCCAGAAAAGCTGAAACTTATGTGGAGGCATCCTTGTATAATGTAGATTCTAAATTTTACAAATAATGACCCCCGGGGGATGGGTGGGGCCACAATTGGGTATCAAAGTTTTATATAGAAATATTTAGGAAAATCTTTGAAAATCTTCTTCTCAAGAACCACTTGTCCAGAAAAGCTGAAAATTATGTGGAAACATCCTGGTATAGTGTAGATTCCTAATTGTTCAAATCATGACTCCCAGGGGAAGGGCGGGGCCACAATGGGGTATCAAAGTTTTACATAGAAATATATAGGAAAAATCTTTGAAAATCTTCTTCTCAAGGACCACTGGGCCAGAAAAGCTGAAATCTATGTGGAAGCATCCTGGTATAATGTAGATTCTAAATTTTTCAAATAATGACACCCGGGGGAAGGGCGGGGCCACAATGGAGAATCAAAGTTTTATAAAGAAATATATAGGAAAAATCTTTGAAAATTTTCTTCTCAAGAACCACTTGGCCAGAAAAGCTGAAACTTATGTGGAAGCATCCTAGGGTAGTGTAAATTCTAAATTGTAGAAATCGTGACCCCCGGGGGAAGGGCGGGGCCATTATAGGGAATCAAAGTTTTACATAGAAATATATAGGAAAAATCTTTGAAAATCTTCTTTCAGGAACCACTGGGCCAAAAAAGCTGAAATATATGTGCCCATGGAAGGATCATTGGGTAGTGTAGATTTCAAAATGTCTAAATTATGATCAGTTGGGTAGGGTGGGGATGCATTATGTATAACAAGGGTAAATCTGGTAAAGAACAGAATGGTCAAAGCTTCTCAGGTGAGCGATGTGGCCCATGGGCCTCTTGTTCCTATATACTCCTATGTAAAACTTTGATCGGTCATTGTGGCCCCACCCTACCCCCAGGGGTCATGATTTGAACAAAGTTGAATCTACACTACCTGAAGATGATTCCACATGAGTTTCATCTTTCCTGGCCCAGTGGTTTGTGAGAAGAGGATTTTTAAAAAATTCCATTAAATTTTTACTTATTCATAATTATCTCCCCTTGGAAGAGGGCGTGGCCCTTTATTTGAACAAACTTGAATCCCCTTCACCCAAGGATACTTTGTAGCAAGTTTGGTTGAAATTGGCCCAGTGGTTCTTGAGAAGAAGATGAAAATGTAAAAAGTTTACGACGACAACAACAACAGACGACGGACAAATTTTTATCAGAAAAGCTCACTTGAGCCTTTGGCTCAGGTGAGCTAAACAAGAGACCCATGGGCCACATCGCTCACCCGAGCATTGTGGCTAGGAAAAGTAGTAATTGGTTTACTATTGAAAAGTTTGAATCCAAAAGTTTGGCCCCGCCCTAGCCCCGGTGGATCATGATTTGAACAAACTTGAATCTACACTATCCGAGGTTGCTTCCATATAAATATGAGCAATTATGGCTTTGCTATTCTTGAAATGAAAATTTTTAAAGAATTTTCCTATATATTTCTATATAAAACTTTGGTCGGCCATTGTGGCCCCGCCCTCCCCCCGGGGGTCATGATTTGAACAAACTTGAATCTACACTACCTGGGGATGCTTCCATATAAATATGAGCAATTCTGGCTTTGCTGTTCTTGAGAAGAAGATTTTTAAAGAATTTTCCTATATATTTCTATATAAAACTTTGGTCGGCCATTGTGGCCCCGCCCTACCCTAGGGGGTCATGATTTGAACAAATTTGAATCTACACTACCTGGGGATGCTTCCATATAAATATGAGCAATTATGGCTTTGCTGTTCTTGAGAAGAGGATCTTCAAAGAATTGTCCTATATATTTCTATATAAAACTTTGGTCGGCCATTGTGGCCCCGCCCTACCCCCGGGGGTCATGATTTGAACAAACTTGAATCTACACTACCTGGGGATGCTTCCATATAAATATGAGCAATTATGGCTTTGCTGTTCTTGAGAAGAAGATTTTTAAAGAATTTTCCTATACTGTAAAAGCACAAATATTCGTGGGGGATTAAATTTCGTTTATTTCGTTGTTAACAAAATTCAACGAAATTAAATCCCACACGAAATTTTATCTGACTATATATTGAATAGGATTAGTTTTAAAACAACGAAATTAAATGCACACGAAATTATTTTTGATGGCAAAACAGCGAAATTTTATGCCCACGAAATTTTGTGCTTCTACAGTATATTTCTATATAAAACTTTGGTCGGCCATTGTGGCCCCGCCCTACCCCCGGGGGTCATGATTTGAACAAACTTGAATCTACACTACCTGGGGATGCTTCCATATAAATATGAGCAATTATGGCTCTGCTGTTCTTGAGAAGAAGATTTTTAAAGAATTTTCCTATATATTTCTATATAAAACTTTGGTCGGCCATTGTGGCCCCGCCCTTTCCCCGGGGGACATGATTTTAACAAATTTGAATCTACACTACCCGAGGATGTTTCCCCATAAGTTTCAACTTTCCTGGCACAGTGGTTCTTAAGAAGAAGATTTTTAAAACATACCACCAAATTTTCACTAATTCTCAATTATCTCCCCTTGAATAAGGGCATGGCCCTTTATTTGAACAAACTTGAATCCCCTTCACCCAAGGATGCTTTGTGGCAAGTTTGGTCGAAATTGGCCCAGCGGTTCTTGAGAAGAAGTCGAAAATGTGAAAAGTTTACGGACAGACAGACGGACGGACGGACGCCGGACAAAATGTGATCAGAAAAGCTCACTTGAGCCTTCAGCTCAGGTGAGCTAAAAAGCGAATGACAGCTAGTGTTTAAAAAAAAAACTAATTAAGGTAATGCTCCAAAAACTGATAGACTAAATGTAAAATAAGTCAATGAAAATACCTTGTAAATGAAAAGAAAACCTCTTATTTGAATTCATTTACAAAAGTATGAATATTATATTTTTCCCAATTTCAACAAAATGTCACTTTTTTCCCACATGGAAATAGACCCAGGCCCTTGATTTTAGATCTTATAAAATGTTCATCAAATGGAACATTTCTTTCCATGGAAATCCAGTATAATATAGCTAATTTAAAAAATATAAAATATATACATTAGATTTTGACAAGTCTCTTAAAAGGATGTTAATAAGAGTAAAACCCCTTTAAAAAGGCACATCTTTCATGGACTTGATTCTCTTTCACTTTTACTTCACTGTACTTTTTCCTTTAATAAATATTGATGAAAAGTTGAAAGTCTTAGTTAATGCCATACAGTTATCTAACATAATTTGACAAGCTCCCACACAAAAGGCTGATAAGAATCATTTTTTGAGGTTTAGTATACTATTATTTTATTCCCTTTCATCTGTTTTACAAGTAAACATGTTTTAGGTTTTGAGACGATCCCTTTGACAAGTGACTAATTAGAGTAATGTCCCTTTGACCGTTATTTCGTTATGTTTTGGCCACGTCAAAACATGTGATCGTTGTGCCACTGATAAAGAAGGAAACGTTTACAGAAAAGACATTATTCTTGTTATGCAGGAAGCTGTGTGTCAGCCATGAACAGGAAATCTCGGATTTTCTCTACTTCATCACATAGATAAATCAACAAGCAATGTTTGTCATACGACTTTGAGCTTTGAAGTTGATTATGATATTGTTAAAATGTGCAGTTTTCTGAATTAAATTAGAAAATCTAACAATTTTATGAACTATAGGCCAAGCGAAGAATATTGAATAGATATGCTCGATGAGGCGGCTGTGAAAGTGAAAGTAGAGTTAGTACTCCCGCCCAATATTGTGCATCCTGTGATGTTACAGTGCCCGGATCTAAGTCCCTGTCGTTATCATTTCACTGATCATAATCTCGAGCAGTCCGAGGCTGTTCTAGACAATTCCACAACTGATAAAGGTCTGGAATATCGTGTCTGAAGAAGTAAAATGACAGACAGTGACCAGATTGTGATTGTAGAGAAGGATGACCCTTCACCTCACGGGGTGGTGGGCCCCACGGACAGCTCCCAGTATGAGACGATGTATGGCAACACCTTCCCCCGGGACCCGGGCTACCAGGAACTCGTGTGGGAGGCTGAGATGGCTATTGCCACAGGGGTGGTGCCTGTACTCAGTGTGAAAGGGACAAGTGGATGTTACTTTGTGAAAAATAGAAAGGGTGTAAGTTGGAAGTTGTGGGATTAAAAATTGTTTTCAGGTGTGAAAAATTCAAGAAACACACCAGCTTCATTGATGGAGAACAGCAAGGCATACTGATTCACATCGGCAATGCATTTACAAAGGGTGTGATGCCAGTTGCGGAATTAAGGGGGGGGGGGGCACACCCGGCGCGCCCCCTAAAATTATCAAAGTTAGCATAAATCACAGTTTCGTCTAGAAAATGTAACTATGTCTACTTGGTAGACCTCTTTTTTACCCTACAAAATCTCTATAAATTCAGGAGCTTCCGGGGGCTTTGCCCCCTGGACCCACTACGGCCTAAGGGGCCTCATGGCAGCCCCCAGACCCCCTGCCTGTTTTTGGCACCCCCTCTAACTTCAATTCCTGGATCGGCACCTGGAGTCCTGGATGCCCTTAATTACTTTGTTTTAATCGAGTGAAGGAAGGATGTGTGTATATTCCCAATATGTACCCAACTTAAGCTCCTTTTTAATAATATGAATAAGATCAACAGAAAGAAATCCAATAATCCAGAGAGTCAAACACTTGTATATCTATGTGACAGACTTTTCCATGTGTTCACATAAATATATCCCATAAAACTCTCAATTCTTTAAGGTATATGAAATAATGTGAACACAATCATTAGACAATAGTATACATGTATTATAATTGATCAAACCATTTAAGGGGAGACAGGGCACATGTCACATGACTAAATAGACATATTACGTCATAATAATCGTTGATGATAAACATGTTAAACGTTGTTAAAATCAACAGTTCTTTTGTAATTTTATTCTAAACATTTAAGTTAAGAAATTATTATTCATAATTTTTTTTAAATCTTGCCATCATTTAGATATTGTGAAGTTGCCCAATCCACACATTTGTTTCTCTTTACCCTGCAGTTTGACGTCAGTGACGTCATAGACGTAGTGTTTGAATTTTCTGTGCAGCGAGATCAACTATACACACCCGTCATGATCAGTTTTATTTCATAATAAACAGGTCACAGTCAATGTATCATGATAAATTTCTGAATGAGATTTTTTTAAATTAATATTTTTTCGTGTTTAGTAAGAGAGATTCTCTCTATTTAGATAATTTTGAATGTTTATGTTTTCGTGTGACGTCACAATTGATTGCCCGCACTCAGAAAATACAAACATGAAGCGTTTTTATCATGCTTGCATCTAATTCAACGATGTCCTGTGCGTTATTGATGTAAGCTTCACCCAGTGATATTTATGCAGTAAATTATTACGATGAAGGACTGACATTCATTCGTAAATTTAGAAATATTTATTGACAGAATTTTTTTCCCAATGAGGTTTTTCTCGTTGAAGCTGCCTTGAAAAATGCAGAAATTATCCCACCCAAATACTATATAGAATTAAAACAATTGCTTTCAGATAATTTAAACACTATGAATATTCTGAAATATTTGAGTATATAGTGTTATCTATAATATTTATTGTTTGTGCGTTAAAATTCACATGATGGACTCCGTTATGGGCCCATAAACATGAAGTATCTTAACTCCATACACACTCTACACAGGGCGGTATTTGTGGGGCGATATCTTTTAAATAAGTCAAGAAATCCCATGACAGGACCGTTATAAAATGTTAAGTACATATTAAATTAGTAATATAAAAAATACGAAAAAAAAATCATTGACAGGAATTTTTTCAGCTAAAGGTCCTGTTCCTCCTTAATGTATGAATTGATAATTTGGGGCTTCAGTTCGGATTTCCACTTCATTATATTGTGAAACAAAAGGTGGGATAAATTGTCATACTCATTAAAATTTTAAAATATTTAAACTTCTGTAAAAAAAAAAAAAATGCTTTCTCAACTTTGTGTTTTTTTTAATAATCTTGTATTTGTAAATAAGAATGATAATGGACTGCTACCGTAATGATCAATTGAAGTACTTTTAGCTTTATTGGTGATCAACAACAAATATTGATATCCATCAACTGAAAAATTACAAAACCCAAGGCTAATTCTGTTGCAATGTGCTACATGTACTATACCAGTTATACGCATCTGATTTCTCGATACATAATGAAATGTATATATAACTAAACACCATGTGTATTGTCACTCAAATTGATGTCGAAATCATCAGAAAACCAAAAAAAAAATGCCATCTATAAATAGTTAATTTTGCAAGTTGAGACTTCAAAAAATGATAACCATGTTTTGCCTTAGTTCATGATAAGTGATTTATATACATGCCTAAAAACTGAATCTGATGAACGTTTAGATTGAAAGCAATTTATTCCTCCTTTCCTATTGCAATATATTAAGTGCATGTATATTAAAGCCGCTAGGTCCGATTCTAATCACGAAAAAAATATATTTGTTTTTCTTGAAAAATAATTGTCCATAACTTGTTTCAACTTTTATCAAATTATATCCCTAAGGTCTTTTTCTTTTAAAAGATATCAAAATTCAAAAGTTAAAAAAAATAATTTTTGTTAGGTCACACAAAAAATAAACATATGTTGATATCGCGTGAAATCACCTTCGAAAAATTAAATTTATCGCTTAAATGTTTATCTCATGAAGAACAAACCCGAGCATTTTTTTCACAAGAAAGTACTTATACATGTACCTGTACACAGACAATATTTTAGCCTTCATTACTAAACTTCCTTAAAAAAAATCTTTAAAAATATCCGATTTTCCTTTATTCTTTAAACGTTAAATATGCATATTATTATATATAATACTTTGGATTATATTCAATTAATTACTGAATTTTTAAAAGATATATTATGACTTAGGCTTCTACCAATGGAAAAAATACTCGGGCTTGAATTATCTTTATAATTAGATATATCCGATAAATTTATTTTTTTCAAAGGTTACTTCACAGCAGATCTTAAATTCCCGTCAGAAACTTCTGTTTGTCAATAAGGTTTTTGATCTATGTTTTCCATGTAAGGATTGTTGTAGTAAACTATGAAATCAATCTTGTAATTTATTTTTATATATTATCTATGTAATGACGTACTTTTATTGTGTAAGATAATATGTGTTTCGGATTAAGCGGCTTTAAGTGAGACTATGAACAGTATCTTTATATACCCCAGTACATAAAGAAAGTAAATGATAATTGGCTCACTCTTTCTTTTCTCTTTTCTTAGAACATCATTGGTGTATTTAAACCAAAGGATGAAGAACCATATGGGAAACTGAATCCAAAGTGGACGAAATGGATGCATAAGTTGTGTTGTCCCTGCTGCTTTGGTAGAAGTTGCCTGGTTCCAAATCAGGGATATTTATCAGAGGCCGGCGCCAGTCTGGTGGACCGAAAACTACAACTGAATATAGTACCTAATACTAAGGTTAGTGTTACAGAATATAGTACCTAATACTAAGGTTAGAGTTACTGAATATAGTACCTAATAATTAGTACCTAATACTAAGGTTAGAGTTACTGAATATAGTACCTAATACTAAGGTTAGAGTTACTGAATATAGTACCTAATACTAAGGTTAGAGTTACTGAATATAGTACCTAATACTAAGGTTAGAGTTACTGAATATAGTACCTAATACTAAGGTTAGTGTTACAGAATATAGTACCTAATACTAAGGTTAGAGTTACTGAATATAGTACCTAATACGAAGGTTAGAGTTACTGAATATAGTACCTAATACTAAGGTTAGTGTTACAGAATATAGTACCTAATACTAAGGTTAGAGTTACTGAATATAGTACCTAATACTAAGGTTAGTGTTACAGAATATAGTACCTAATACTAAGGTTAGAGTTTCTGAATATAGTACCTAATACTAAGGTTAGAGTTACTGAATATAGTACCTAATACTAAGGTTAGAGTTACTGAATATAGTACCTAATACTAAGGTTAGTGTTACAGAATATAGTACCTAATACTAAGGTTAGAGTTACTGAATACTGTATAGGGGATTAATTTCACGGGTTGTAATTTTCACGTTTTTCTCTCATCTGACACGATCGCGGTTTCTTGAATTCGCGGAATAGCTACATGTAAACAACATTCTTCAGCGTTGTTTTTATTTCACAAACAACAGGGTAGGTTTATATAAAATTGATAGATTTCATTAATAATTAATTAAAACAAGTGCAGTTATTAAAAGTCCTACTCTTTAAACGTCAAATGACTTTCCTATAAGCTATTACGATGAGTGCATGTGCACCCAAGATCTTCAATACAACGCGGCGAAAAACCACTGGACGGAAGTATATGTGTTTATTAAAATGATTTTTCAAAACCAAAATGTTGATAAAAACTCATATGCATGATAATGCAGGTAACAAATACACGTGGTAAAATTAGTTACGCACGGGTAATCAAAACCCATGGCCCACGTGTTTTGATTGATGAAACATGTAGCGTTGGCTATTAAAACAGCTTTTGAACAAACACGAGTTATTATCTGCCGATTTGAATTAAAGTTTAGCGTGATAATTAAAATGATTGAATGACGAGTAATACTCGTAATTACTGAAACGACCATGTACTGCATGTACATGTATATCAACCTGTCGTAGTCAACCTATCGTAGTCTATTCTCAAATTTCCAAATAAATCATCGAGATTATTGAAAATTTATTCACTGTTTCTTGAATTCATGGATTTATTAATACCGTGAATATAGCGAATATTAACACCGCGAGTTATTTTCCCCCTATACAGTATAGTACCTAATACTAAGGTTAGAGTTACTGAATATAGTACCTAATACTAAGGTTAGAGTTACTGAATATAGTATCCATTACTAAAGTTAGAGAAGTGTCATCTTTGAAGTCAGTATAAAAATTGTATCTAAGAATGTAGATGCCAATATTGGATTGGACAACAATGGAGATCCAAAAGAACTGCAGTAGGGCATCCTCAAAAGTGAAAATAAACTAAAAGAGGGAGCTTAAAAAGAATCGTGTGTCATCATGGTCATGGCAACAAGCTTATTTGTTATATCTGTCCATGTTACTTCTTTTATAGGAATCGTAAAAATAAATCATGTTGTAAACATGATGACTGCTAATATGAATTATTTTTTTTTTAGGTTGTAAAATTAGCAAGTGATACATTTAACTACAATGCAATAGACAGAGCGAAATCAAGAACCAAACACAGTATTATGACAAAAGTCCCAGCTGTTGGTAAAAAGTTCCACCGCCTGGGCTTACCCCCAAAGGTAAGGAGATGTGGGGTCAGTTATATCATCGATTGTAAGTACATCAGTACTTGTAGTGTACCTCAGTACTTATAGTGGTACTTGATTCTTTGTTCTCGTTACAGACCGGATCCTTTCAGTTGTTTGTCAATGGATACAAAGACGCTGACTTCTGGCTACGGAAATTTGATGCTGAAGATTTACCTGTTTCTACGGCAACTAAGCTCCAGCACTTGTTTGAAAGACTAGTCGTTTTAGATTATATAATTAGAAATACAGGTATGTTTTATTTCGCCAAGTTTGTTTGAATTAGAATTAGTTTGTATGATCAAAGGGAGATAACAAAGATGCAAGGGAAACATTATATTTTTAATTTTCATTACAGCATGTAGGTGTTTATACTGGTCTTATGGTTAGAACTTGGAAAAACATGTACATGATTTTGATATATACTGAAAGGAAAAAGAAACGCATAATAGCATAATAGCGAAAAATATTTAACTATGTGGCCAAAAATTATGAAAATTGGTCAGATGTGTATTTTGGTTACTGTGCACTAAAATCACTGGTCAAAATTACTCAACCATGCAATGTATGGTGTCACGTAGGGGAAGTGATAAAAAGCCAAATACACGTACATGTTGATGATGACAATTTTGTGATCACATTTTGTAGTGCCAAGAAATGCATTAGAGTTTATAGACATCGTTTTCCGATATTTGCAGTCAGTATAAATTTCTTGCAATCAAGGTATGGCTAATCGAAGTTACATTGGGTCTAGTAATTGAGTTGCATAAGTGAATAAAAAGGCAACAACATGTTGCTGTGCAGTTTGTTTTTAACTTTTCAACCAAAAAATTTTTTTCGGTTGTCAGAGAGTAACTTAAAAGGTTTCCAACCAACCATGAGGGTGACGTTGGCGCGTAACAACGTCACATCAAGATAGGGCTTTTCATCATGCTACCTCGGTTATTGTCAAGTCATTATCACTGAAACCGATATTTTTACGGCAGGCAGTCCCACTCATATTTTCACCAGGGCTAATACTGACAGAAACTCTCTGCTCTAATTTGGTACTCAAGCTTGGCAACTTTACGTCGATTTTACTCTCACACGCGCAATGCGTAATGTTTTAGCATGTTCACATTGGGAAAATGTAGCTAGTGTTTGTCGACACTTCCCAACAAACATTCACGTGTACCAATTCAGCTAGATTCTGTAAATTCTATCCTAAATCGAAAATTCGTGGGATTCATTGGGCGAGGGGATTTGTTAGCTTTGGAATAATACAGCTACTCTTAACCATTAAGACTACCGTCGGAAGGCTTTAATGATAATCCTTGAGAAAGATAAATGCTCTGGTGAACTCACAAGAAAATCAAGGCTGTTACTGATGTGCAAGGGAGATGATGAGAATTTTTATTTTAATTTTGGGGGTTATCGACATATCAATTTTAATAACTCAGGAATTATCAGTCAAAGTCACACAAGGTTTCGGTTACTAGTTGTTTAAAGTTGAATTAAAATGTTTGATAACAATACTAGAAAACATATTGGAAATAAAAGTTTTAATTTTATTCAAAAGTTTATTATGCGTTTCTTTTTCCTTTCAGTATATGTTTTTAACCTATTGTTAAAACTCTTCAATTTTGTTTCAACATCTGGTGTGGCCATGAAGTAATATTTGTGTCATTCAATTTTTAGATAGGGGGAATGACAATTGGTTAATAAAGTATGAACCAGCATCAAGCATCCCTAAAGGTGATAATGAGGTAGGGGGATACAAAAGAGTGTCTTAATTTTGTAAAGGGGAGATAGTAAGCTACAGAGTTAAACCAAAAACTGTCTGCATTAAAAATGCAAGGGATTATAAGGAGGTACAGGGTAATACAAAAGTGTAATATTATAAATTTAGTATAAACTAGCATAAATGAACAGAATGTAAATTTCTGTAATTTTGCTTTTACAGTGTAAACATGGTAAATAAGGGAATAACCAATCTGATTAAAACCAGCCCCCTTCTCCTTTCACTCGTCAGGCGACGAGTGAAAGGAGAAGGGGGCTGGTTTTAATCAGACTAGGGAATAACTGTCTTCTCATTTGTTATTTACAACATTTAATGCTGATTGAGCTGTTGCAGACTTGTGTTCTACCACCTCTAGGCATCACAAAACTTAGTTTGCAACTGTTAAATCAGCATTAATCATCACAACAAATGAAATATACTTACATGTATTTTCAATCTACTGCAATTAATGTATTGTGTTTGATGTATACTTCATATTTTGTTTAGTTTTGTGATAGTTGCCTTTACACTGATAGAGATTCCTGTTTTGTTGTAGGTAGGAGAGTGGAATCTTGTAGAAAATCCTGATATATCCATTGCTGCCATTGACAATGGTCTCGCTTTCCCATTTAAACACCCTGATGAATGGAGAGCATGTAAGTCAGTGTAGGAATGATGAGAAGGTATAGGTACAGTTAAACTCGTTTAGAATGAACGTGGATATAGCGAATTCACCAAGTTTTTCGGGTCCGTGGCAAATTTCTTAACATTTCTTTGTAAAATTTTATGGTTATAACAAACTCTGATACAGCGAATTTACGGATATAGCAAACTGTTTTTGAGTCCCATAGAGGTTAAAAATAATGAAATTTACATCTTTTATAACGAATTTTCAAAAATCTCAAAATAAGTTATATTGAACTGACTTCATTTTTAGTAAGAATTTACAAATGAAATTCGAAACCTCAGTTAGCCAAGGTATGTTTTGTAATAATTGCTTCCCTACCATACTCAGTAGTAATACTTAAAGGGAAACGTGCATATTGCAAATTAGCTATAAATACTTCCACAAATTTGTTATACGAATATAACGAATTACTGATATAGCGAATTAAATCACAGGTCCCCAAGACTTCGCTCTAACCGAGTTTTACTGTATGGGTGATTTTTAGCAATGGAAAAAAAACTGATTATACAAATGAATGAAGGTTCCACTTTATATATATGAATGTTGAGACTGAAAAGAAAAAATAGTTTAATAACATGTAGTTAATATTTTGAGATTAAATAGGGCTTTGTAGCCTGTCATTGGGAAGTTATGTTCTAAACAACAGTCAAAGAATCAATTTCAGTATTGGCTTTATTTGGATTTGCTTATATTATTAAAAAGAAAAATACAAATCCCATTGTTATTTTGTAGATCCGTACCATTGTTATTTTTGTAGATCCGTACCATTGTTGTTTTTGTAGATCTGTACCATTTTTATTTTTGTAGATCCGTACCTTTGTTATTTTTGTAGATCCGTACCATTATTGTTTTTGTAGATCCGTACCACTGGGCGTGGTTACCCCAGGCTAAAGTCCCCTTCTCTGATGAAATCAAGGAACTTGTTCTACCTCAGCTGTCTGACATGAACTTTGTACAGGACCTCTGTGATGATCTCTTTGACTTGTTCAAGGTCAGCTTTTACCATTTTTAAGGTGGATAGTCACAGTTTAGTTTCAGTTAAATGTGACCTTTTCTTTGCTTTAACCATAATGTTAGTACTGTATAACATTAACTATGCACCCATTTATTTTGTTGATGTCTGTCATGATGCTAAAGCAGGCAACACATGGGAAAAATTTTGAATATAGATGAAAAATTCTGTATTTTCATTTTGTCTTTTCAAAACATATTTGTACAATTTATAATTGTTTAGATACTGGCACATACAGTAATTTCGTGTGATTACAATTTCAGACTGACAAAGGCTTTGATAGAAGGACCTTCACTAAGCAGATGGGAGTGATGAGAGGACAGGTCTGTTACTATAGCAACAAAATGGCAGAAATTTCAAATTTTGGATTGTTCTGCATTAAACATGCTTATAGAAAAAGACTCTTTTAACAACTGATGCTTACGGCATATTGATTTTCATTTCCTGTGGTTTAAAATATATTGCAAACTTAACGGATATTACGAATTACGCTTATAACATATCTAAATCATCTGACCTTGGCACCTGTTGTATGCAAAATAAATAAACTAACCTAAAGTACTTTAATAGATAGTTGGAAAAAAGTGACAAGACAATTCTTTTTTTCACTTTACAGATATTGAACTTGACACAAGCTTTAAAAGATGGTAAGTCTCCAGTACAGTTAGTCCAGATGCCGGTGGTCACCGTGGAGAGGACAAAAGAAGGTCGTCGTGTTAGAGCCGATAGTGACCAGTATACACAGAGCTTCCAACACAGGACACCATTCTTCTCCTGGTGCTGACACCTAGTGACTATAGGGGAACAGGATGACAGGTCTGCCACCTACTGGTCAGAATCAGTGCTGCCACCTACTGTTGCAGAATTAGTGCGGCCACCTACTGGTGTGCTTGAGCACTGTGGCAGAGCTTTTATCTTGTGGAGGTGCTGTAGTGCTCATTTATCATTAATTTATCACTTCATTCCAGACACAAAAAGAGACAGGGTCTCTAACAGAACACTACTGGAGGCCATTATACACAGTTCACCTTTCTTGCTCTTGTTTTGTTCTACTTTATTTTAAACTTCAGAGTACACAGAAATGATGTACTCCTGTGTAAGTTGATGTTATTTTTCTTGGTGCTACATGTTGGATGTTAGGTGTGTGTTTTGGAGTAGGTTATTTGCATGTTTTAGTTCACTGATCTCTGCAATTTGATGTTAAACTAATGTTATATGTATGAAATGATTTGTAGTAATTTTAAAAATTAAATAATTGTGTAATGTATTCATAATGATATTAATTAATTACAGTGTATTTTGGGGCCCAAAAAATGATTTATATCTTCTTGGACACCATTGCATCAGGACAAAAACTCCCATAATCAGTTGAAAAGGGAAATGGTGATATTTTCTATTTTTTTCTAGTTGAAATATTCCCCTTTTCATGCATGCCAATAGATATACTTTTTTATTTGATAAAGAACATAAACAAATAATATATATTTCTTGTTAATATGGTATTTTATTTAACATTTTTTCAAAGTTGAGTCATGAATATAAGAGAACAAAATGAAAGAATCATTTGATATCATTTATTAAATGGCTACATGAAAAGAAGAAATACACCTATATAAAAATATTAAAATAATCTGCCAACCTCACTGAGTTTTAAAATTTTGACCTGATAAAGTAAAGATTTTTTTTGGCCCTGTGAGGTATACAGCTTAGTCAGTTGTTCTTTGAGCCTTGAAAAGGTTCTCAATGTTTAGTATCTGCATAAGTTAATGCACTAGTTATATATTATAATTTCAAATCAATCTTTTACTCTAGGAGTAAAAATGAATTAAGTTTTTTTGCTCATGTGAGAAATTACATTTTGATTAATACTTTTTGATGAGCCTATCACAGACAGAATTATTAAAGAAATCCTGTAGTCATGATTCACTGACAAAGTCGTGTGATGTCAAACTCATGCTCAGTGAATGAGAAAATCTCGCCTTCCTTAGGGATGTACTACATGGGTCTCTGTGTGAGGAATATGACACACTGACATTAGTCAAATAAGTTTGTTATAAACCACAATAATGTTTTTTAAGATTATTTGCTCATACAACATTCATTTGATAAATTTGTTTGCTGACTGCTAATGATGCTAATTTTACAATAAATGTTGAATCTACAGTTCGCGTTATTACTCCTCTTATCTAGAGAAGTCAATACAGGATGGCCACTTCAGTTTGATTTAAAGCTAGCTAAAAGGCCAATGTTTTGGTCTAAAGAATCATTTCTGTTTCAGGAAGCCCACAGAAAAAAAATAAGATTGATAGTATTGAAATACTACTGTATTATAAAATTGCTGCAAGACTAATATTTATACACAAAGGAAGGAAATGAGAATGAAGACTAAGAGAATGTATACAATGTACTTTTTTTTTTATATTTATGTATTTTTAAAATTTCCATTATCTTCGGTAACATATTCAGCAGTGTGAGATTAAAAAAAGAACTTTGGACCCCTGCTCTTGGGGAAAAATGATTCTGGAGCAGGTTTCATTACAAGTAAATAGACCGACAAGCCCCACAAGGACCAAACTTGTGCGTATTGATTCATCTACGGATGCACACTACCAGACATCTGATGTTGGATTTGACCTTTCCAGATGAATGACCAAGTTTTTTAGTACTATGTTTTTTCTAAAGTGACTATAAACCCTATATTGTCCAAATTTGCAAGGAAGATACATCTAAAAATGAACATTTACATCTGTTTTGTAACTGGGTCAAACTGTATTGGATGTGCAGTAACTGATGAACACTAAAAGACTTCATTCAAACTATAGTTTGTTATTAACAATTAGTTAACTATAGTTTTCACTTGTAAAACTATATTTAACGGTCGTTAACTGTTTACGATTGCTAATATAAGGTTATCTGTCTGTAATAAAATGTTAACAATAGATTTTGTTCATAAACAGATTCGCATCTGTAAACTGTATAATTTACAATCGTGAACTATAGTTAAGAGTTGTTAATCATACTTTCACAAATCGTGAAACTATATTTATCAGATCGTTTTAAAACTATAGTTAAGAGTTGTAAACCATAGTTTACAAATCGTGAAACTGTACTTGTCGGTTAAAACATTGCTGTGATGTCATTCCTTTGTTCTTGAAGTCTAAAAATTTACCTGTGGCAGTCCGATATTAGTGAGCAGTCTGATATTAATCGTAATATCAGACTGTCTCAGTACTGATATCCTTCAAAATTGGACTGCTACTGAACAAAAGAAATAAAAAGTGTGATAATTTAACAAACAGAAATTTAAATTTCTCACATAGAATGATGCTTTAGAAACATTGATCTTACAGAATTGCAAAATTAAAAAAAATTAAACTTTCAATTACACCGAATATAATGTAACAGGAAGAACAAGCGGCAGACCAGATAATGCAAATAAAAACAAACCAAACCCCCCCCCCAAAAAAAAAAACCGGGTAAACTTAAAATAAACCTATTACAACTGGGGAAGTGTTTCAACCCATTTTCCGGTTTTTAGGTCACCTGAGTAAACTCAGGTGACCTATTGCTATCCGTTTTCGTCCGTCGTCGTTCGTCGTACGTCGTACGTCGTTCGTAAACTTTTGAACATTTTCAGCTTCTTCTCTGCAACCACTGAACCAATTTCAACCAAATTTGGCACAAAGCATCTATGGGTGAAGGGGAACAAAAATTGTGAATTTCATGATCCCTGCCCCCCTGGGGCCTGAGGGGTGGGGCCAAAACCACTAAAATTAATGCAATCTTTAAAAATCTTCTTCTTTACTCCTGGACATCAAGCAGTCAAACTGTTTGCATGATTGTAATCAGCATTGAGTCCTCTACCAAAATTGTGAAATTCATGGCCCTGGGGTCAGAGGTTCTAGTGCTAGGGCAGGGCTAAATAAGTAGGTAGTGAAAATGCAGTATTTCTTTGAAAATCTTCTTCTCTGCTCCTGGGTATTAAATAAACCAACTAAGTAGTTAGTTATGATGAGCAAGAGTGCTTCTACCAAAATTGTGAATTTTATGGCCCCAGGGTCAGGGGTTCTGGTGGGGGGGGGCTTTATAGATTATATAGTAAAAATACATGAATTATTTGAAAATCTTCTTCTCTGCTCCTAGATATTAAATAAATTAACTAAGTGCATAGTTATGATGAGCATGAGTGCCTCTACCAAAATTGTGAATTTTATGGTCCCTGGGTCGAGGCTTCTGGTGTTGGGGGGGGGGGGGGGGGCTCTATTGATTATATAGTGAAAAAACACAAATTCTTTGAAAATCTTCTTCTATGCTCCTAGGTATTAGATAAACTAACGAAGTGCATAGTTATGATGAGCAAGAGTGCCTCTACCAAAATTGTGAATAATTTTATGGTCCCTGGGTCAAGGCTTCTGGTGGGGGGGGGGGGGGGAGGGCTCTATAGATTATATTGTAAAAATACATGAATTCTTTGAAAATCTTCTTCTCTGCTCCTAGGTATTAAATAAACTAACGAAGTGCATAGTTAAGATGAGCAAGAGTGCTTTTACCAAAATTGTGAATTTTATGGTCCCAGGGTCAGGGGTTCTTGTGTTAGGGTGGGGCTCTATTGATTATAGTAAAAATACATGAATTCTTTGAAAATCTTCTTCTCTGCACCTAGGTATTAAATAAACTAACTAAGTACATAGTTATGATGAGCAAGAGTGCCTCTACCAAAATTGTGAATTTTATGGTCCCAGGGTCAGGGGTTGTGATGTGTGGGGGATGGGGCTCTGTTGATTATATAGTGAATATACATTAAATCTTTGAAAATTTTCTTCTCTGTCTCTGGGTATGAAGCAGATGAACTACCTAAATAGTTATGAAGAGCAAGGGCCCTATTCTTGCAGAATTTTGAATTTCAAGGCCCCAGGGTCAGCCGGGTGGGGGTGGGGCTCTACTTATATACTGAAAATGAATTAATTGTTTGAAATCTGCTCCTTTGTATTTATAAAACATTTATTTATTTTTTGAAAGGCAATTTAAACGGTGCCTTTTTAAAATTTGTGCAATGTGTGGACCTAGGGTCAGGGGTTTATTTCACAGTGTTAGGGGCACTACTGATTATTGCTGAATATTACTGATTAGTTGGAATGCATTTTTGTTCCCCTACCTTGCGTATGGGTATTCAGTACCCCTGCGAGGTGATCATGAATAATTCATGGATTTCCTTTTTATTCATGAAATGTTCATGAAGATCCTATGAACTTATTATTGGGCATATTTAAATCAATAAACCAAGCTAAGCAACTGCTAAGTGTATTGTTATGATGATCAATGGTGCCTCTTTCAAAATTGTGAATGCCATATAGCATCTGGCTTAAAACATGAATCAAATTCAATAACTGGAAAGTTGTTGCAGAATGCTCAGGTGACCTATAAGGCCCGTGGGCCTCTTGTTGAAAAAGAGTGGGCACACTGGGGGTCACCAGAGAGACGCGTATAAACTTTCAAAGCCCCAAAAATAAATTCATAATAAAACACAAAGTTTAGACATTTGATTTCATTTTTCTCATAGAAAGAAAGATGCCTAGATGCAAAAATCAAGGTAACTAGGCCTAGTATATAATAATTAATACCTAATTGACAGATTGGCAACAAATTTTGAAAGAAATTTCAAGATTTTCAACGCTTCCCTAAAATTTCCTAGATTATTGATTATGTTTGTTCTTCTGTAATGGAATATCAAAAACAAAGGTATACGTTGACGCTTAACATAAAAAAATGAAATGGAAGTGTACCTTTAGCATCTGCTTAATTTTCACTGGATATTCTTCATATCGGCATTTCATTCCAAATTCATCATTCACTAGATTTTCTGATGATAATTCGTTGCACTACTTTAATCTCCGTGTATGTTTTAATGAATAAAAATTTTGTCCCCACTCTCCTTATCAAATTCTTTCAAATACATGTACCTTCTTCAATGTAGCCAAATCCGTAAATACTGAGTACTTTTCACTTAAGCCTGCATTCTTGAAAGAATTGCTTCAGTGGTCATAAACACCTTTGTCTTTTGTTCTAATATCGGACTGTCTCAGGTAAATCAAAAGCAATGTTTTAAGTACGACATATGCCTCATACAATTCTGTATTAAAAAATATCAGACAGTTTTCGGCCCTAACGGGCCTCAAATTGTCTGATATTTTTTAATACAGAACTGTATGAGGCATATATCCAATACATAATCTATGTTTTGCAATCGCAAATGATTGTTTTCAGTGTTAAGTATAGTTTACTGTTCTGAAACATAGATTATCTCGTTAACGACGTTGGATCCTGATATTTAAAGTCTTAAACTTTTTTTGCCAAGTATATTTTTAATTTCTACATACATAGCCTAATCAAAATTCAAATCTAAAAATGGGGGTCAATAAGCTTCTTTTGGCGATACAGTACATTTAATATGAGCTTTTTGCACTGAAATTTGTGTCTTAATTAAAAATTACATCTTCGATGTTTTCCCTCCAATATTTTTTGTTATCCAATTAAAGCATGAAAAAGAAAATGAACTCCAAGTCTATCTAAAAAAAGACACTTTAAAATTGTGACTAAGAAAAAGTTTCAAATTGCTTCGCATAATCAACTATTTGACCTTTCTGCACTAATAAAATGTTATTTTTCTGACATTGAAAACTTAATAAGCAAGAAAATTATTTTAAAGTCTTAAGCAAATAGGTCAAATTTATCTTATATATTTAGAAAAGAACATCAAAAGTGGGGGAATATGGTGTAAATTTTCAGATATTACTAAAAAGTGTCATTTTTGCATTAAAATTGGCTCAATTTTTTCACAGATTTCCAGAATATATTTACTATATTTGTCACACTTTGTTGAAAGAATTCATAAGAAATAATTTAATAGATATTTCAGAACCAGCATAGCACATTTCACTACAAAAAACAACTTTGTGTGCGACCAGCATGGCACAGAACTGTTATAGTTCAAAAGGGAAAAAATGATCATTTTCTTCTAAAAAAAAATCTTCCGCCACAAAATATAGTTCCTAGCTTAATTCTACTTGAATGGAATTTAATCGCGTTTTTTTTTTCATTGAATATAGTTCAATTTGCATTGTAGAATTCAGATTTAACGTTAGAACGTAAAAATGCTGCAGA